TTTACGATAATCATCAAATAACTCGTTCATTGACAGCATGTCAGGCTGAGAAGACTTGACTGAGCCCTCATTTGCTGATTGCTAATTAGCTTAACATTCCTAATCCCTCATTAGTGACTATGAAGTAAGCTCTGAAATATGAGGTCAGCCCTAATCAGCGTTTAAAATATAAAGCCCACTGGCACGTGATGGAGGCAGGAGAGAGGGGGGTGGCTGTGGGCCAGCCCTGAGGCCTTTCATGGTCAGGGGGAATAAGGCTGTGCAGAGAAGAGCCAGACACGAAGGGTTAAACCCTGCGGCACATCACCCCAAATCTAAGTCCCCCGTGTCCCCCCCCGCACTCAGCTCACATCCTTGGCTCCACGGCGGGCACAGGCAGTGACATTTGGGGTGACAACACAGGAGATGCCCCAGGTCCCTCTCAAGTCTCATTCCTTGCTGTGCCCACCTGGTGTACACCTGGGCTCACAGCATCCCTCTGCTGCACCAAAACCTGTCATTTTGCCCCTGCAACCCAACTTTCCTGGCTGGAAAGCTCCAAACAGACTGTCCCAGTGAAGGGGACCCTCATGTCCCAGGGACGGGCAGCAGGAGGGATGGAGGAGCAATCGGCCACCATAAATACCCTCAGCAATTAGCAGCACATCCCTGGTCCCAGCTCCAGGGCTCTCCGGAAGGGAGGGAGGCCACGGGTTTTAGGGTGGTTTTTAAACCTGGTGAGCTGAACATGTCCAAGCAGGGACGACAAGTCCCAGGGTAACACAAGTGACATCCCTGGAACAAATTCCATGCAAAAGCATTGGCAGGAGAGGCTGACCTGGCCCCGCTCCCTGCTGTGTCAGAGGGACCGTGGGCCACCAGCTGCCAGGGACCCTGCCATGCACCGTCCCCACGCTCCCACCACTGTCCCCACTGGCTCTGCCCTGGCCCTGCGGGGTTTGGGCAGGGGCTCTGTGCTGTGTAGCCATGGTTTGGTCCCTCTGCCCTGCCTCAACCCTGCCTGCCAAAGCCCCCTGCCTGCAGAGTCAGTTGAGATGCCAATCCCCACACAAAGCCCCAAAGCCTCTTTCTGCTGCTGGCTCCTGTTGTGCCATGTCTTGGGGGGTGGCTGGGCAGCACCCTGCCACTTGGACCGGGCACCCAATGGTGGCTACAACCCCCTCCCCGGTGTGTCCCCCATCCCCAGGGGCTGCTGCTGCCTTGGCACTGAGGGCAAACCAGCCCCCAGGCTGCAAAGCCCACAGGGTCTGGGGGCCTGGAGCTGCTGCTGCCACCAGCGCAGACCCTGAGGTCCCGGCAGCGGCTGCGGGGGGTGGGACAGCCCCACGGCTGCAGGACACGGGTGGCTGCCAAGTGCCAGGCAGGGCCAGAGGTGAAAAGTCCCCAGGAAGGGGCAGAGGAGCAATGCCCTGAGAGTGCCTTATGCTGTCAGAAAAGCCCCAGTTTGAAGCAAACTGCTTTGAAATCTTTTTATAATGCACACAAAAGCAGAATAAATTCATCCTCACACAGGACAGGTATTATTGGGCCCAGTGACAGTTTTCCTGGTCCAGCCTCTCTCTGAACCGAGTGGGAATCCACACTTTGGAATCGGGTTCCCCTTTTAGCCACACCAGTGACTGGCTGGGGTCCAAAATCGCACATGTCACTATTCTGTCATCCTGGCTGTGTGGAAACAGCCTGGGCCAGTCTGATCTCGCCTAAACCCATGTGAAGTAAGAGCCTTAAGCTCATAGGGGCATGACGAAGTTCACCGGGAAAGCACAAGCCCACCTGGCCCTGGGGATGTGCCCCTTGCTCAGCCTGACACTGAAGGATGCTGCCCCAAAACCTCCTGTGGGGCGACCCTTTCCCCCCAGTGAGGGCAGCCCCCCACTCACAAGGCAGCCCAGCACTCCTGCACTACACACCGTTTCTTCTGGTTATCAAAAGGCCCCAAAAAAGGGGGAAAAGGCTTGCAGAGGTGACAAGGCCTGATCCCTTCAGCTCACAGGGCACAGCAAGTGCTGCTGCTGCCAGGTTTTGATGGTGCCACGAGTCATCATTTGGTATACCCAACAGCAATTCCAGCTGCGGTTTGAGAGGTTTCCACTCAGGGCAGGGTGTCAACTGGAGAGCTGAGGGTCCGTGTGGATTGCTTCAGCTTTCCCCCTAATTCTCTTTGAAATTCCAGGAAAACTGCAGGCAGCCTGGGTGGTGGCAGTGGGACTTCACCAGGGGTCTTGCCTGCACCTTCTGATCCTGGGGGAAGAACTCAGATCTCAGTGTCAGCACCACCGAGCAGGCACCAAAGCATGCTGGGCTGCCCACTTGTGCCATCATTCAGGAGGAAAATGGCCCTTATTTGTTGTGGTTTATTCCTCTGGAAGAATAAACTGCCGTGGACCAAGACCAATTTATGTCTGACTTGGGGAACATCTACAGCAGGACCAAGGACTAACTTAACCCTAATTAAGCTCCAGCTAGTAAGTCTTAAAAAAAAAAAGAGACAACCTAGATGTTCCCATGAAGATGTAATTTGAAAAGCTCCTGTTGCCACACCTCTGCTTGTCCCCAAGGAGCAGGACTAAAGCGATTCTCCAGCCCTGGCCCCCCGTGCCGATGGAGTGCGACGCTCTGGGCTCAAGCTGCGGGGCACGACCAACCCTTGCTCTGCGCCAGGTCCCTGCACAGAGCCAGCAGCCGCTGCAGGCATCACGAGCCTTGCCGGGCCAGAGAAAGGCCATTTTGTTCTAGTGCTGCAGGAGATGTAACATCATCCTTTTGCTACTCGCTCTGCACCTCCCATCCCTCTGAGCCGTGCTGTCCCTCTACGCGTGGGCAGGAGTTATGAACCGAGCGGCGAGAGGCTGCCAGCAGAGGCACTGCAAATTACCCATGGATGGAGCTGTGCTTCACCTTCAATTTCTGCTCGGCAGCTTCTCTGGAGCATGGAGACATGGGATATTTTGAGCATCCTTGGCAGCAGCGAACGAGGCCGAGTCCAATGCCCCCAGACACAGGCGTCTCCCCAGCTCTTTATTTGCAAGGACAGGAATGAGCCTTTGAAGGCTTTTCCATGTGAAGAGTGCACAACTGCAAAAGTTAAAAGCAAAAGGGCTGGTTTTAGAAAGGTTTTGGGTGGTAGATTATCAAGACAGCCTAAACAACTGGGTGCACAAGGGGGCTACATAGCTCCTGCTGCCTCGTGCCGTGTGGCTAATCCAAGCCAATGCTGGACCAGTGCCACTGGCAGCCACTGCCCTTTGATTTCATGGTGCACACCATTCACACACCCACAGGTACTGCATTCAGCTGTGCTGTCCCATCCTCTCCTTGTCATGCTCTTTTCTCCTGTTGCTCAGCTAAGATTCATGTCTTACACGTTTTTACCCCTTTAGTAAGGGCGGATCATGAGGACCCTGCCTTAGCAGGGACACAGTACACTATATACTTAAGGGGCTCTTGGTGGAGGATGGTAAATTCTGGGCTTGAGTTTCAGAGTAGAAAGTTTTGGTTTATCCATACATCTGGCCCATGGAGCAGAAAATCCCAAATAGCCTGGCAGATTTACTCCGATACCCAGACACTCTGCAGGCTATTTTCTGCCCCATCAAGCAGCCGGTTGAGCTGGCAGGTTGAAGGCACAGCCACCCTCAACACCATGGGGAGAGTAAGGGGAGACCAAACAAGAGACACACACAAGTTTGAATTTATGTAAAAAAAAAAAATTATTTATTTTGGAGGAGGATTTGAACATCGACATGCAGGTACAACATGAATAAAAATTATTGCACCGCTATTATGTGGCAATTGTTCAAGTTTCTAAAAACACAGAAATTCCACACTTTCTCTTATCTAGCTAAGTGCTGAGTGACACAGCTTGGCGGAGCCCGGTTCAGGAGGTGCTCTCACAGCCACCTGGATATGGTAATTGAACACAACATAAACACACACTTCTGTCAAATCTTCTACTAGAAGTACAGAATTATCCTTCACATCCAGTAAGAGAAAACCAGAGAAAGACTTTATCCTCCCCTTAATGCAAGTGTGGCAACCAAAACCACTGGTCACTCCTACCCCCTCCCCGGCAAGCGCTCTTTAGTATATTAGCAGCCAAAGGCCTCTGACATTCAGACCCAGGAGTGGCCATTACAATGCTAAAGTCTAATATTTACAATAAATATCATCCATTTCTCTTAGTTTGCAACAGTAAGAGACAAAGGGAAAAATAACACTGAAATGAGGCACGGGGCAGGAATGTGCCAGCTGGATGCAGGAGCAGAGGATGGAACCAGCTCTGATGCTGTGTTACCCCAACACGGAGATGAGGAGCAGGAGACACATCCAAGCCGACAGAAGGAAACAGGGAAACGAAGCAGGAAAGCAGCTTATTTGGATGATTATATGCACGGCTCATTCACCAAACGCACACCACACGCACGCAACTTCTACCTCCCGCCTGTCTGACCCAGGGTTATCTATGGAGGCCAAATTCTTGGCTTGATGACTGTTCACTTGGGTACCACAGGCCTGATCCTGAGCTGGGGAACACACTCACTCTGCACACAGAGCTTTTCCAACATCTCGTTCCTCCCCAACACATTTTGTAAGCTTATTTGAGAAGGTATTTAAGCAATTCTTAGCAGAGCAAGGAGTAAGTCTTGGTGTATCTACATGGTTTATTATCAAAATTTTAAAGAAAAAAGTCTTTTTGCCCAAATCTTTTGCTAAGGTGCACCAGATAAATTTGGCAGAAGGTGGAAGTGTGATGATGGGGCATCTGGCACACTGGGGGAAATTGCAGGACTGACCAGGAGCAGGAGATATGGGGTTTCACTAGGATGCTTTCCTGGTAATGCTGTTTGGCTTTGGCTTCCAAAAAAACAGGGTTTTTAAAATTGCACTGATCACTTTCTGTACTGTAGCTACAAAAGAGGCAACAAAACACAGACCTCGCTGCTTCTTTGGCCAATTCAGGCAAAAGCTGTGACATAGCAAGGTTTTTCACTCCTCTTTCCATGCATAAGGATAACTGCAATTCAGCACAGGAGCCCCCAGTTGCAAAGGGAGGGAGTCAGCAGTTAATACAGCTGGTATCTTCAGCAGGTTCCCCCTCCCAACCTGTGTGGGATGAGCCAGATTACCCAGCCCTCTCTCCTAAGAGCGGTTTTCCCCTTAAGTTTTTTTTAAACGCAGAGCCCTTTGTGGATGCCCCAGGAGCACACTCACAGAGGCAGCTGTGTCACCACAAGGAGAAGGAAAGGGAGACCTGCCACCCAGAGAACAGCCAGGTCAGACCACATCCTCACCCAGCTCCGGGCCCGTAACTTAATTGATAGAGTCTTCATCTTGCCAAGGTTAGGTGCTCTCAGGAGATAAGCTTGAGGCTTTGCTTTGTAATTATCATAGACTCAGGATGCTGAATCAATTTTTCACTATTCCTGTCCATTTTATCATATACACCACTGCCAATCAGACCTCCTTTCTCAGCAATTTTTTAGTAGATCACCCATTGGGGAGAAAACCAGCCAGGTAAGTACCAGATCCTGCCAAGTCTGCTCCTTACTTGCTATTGCTCCAAATCAGCACAGACCAACGCTCATCAACAAGAGTGCTTTGCAAGCCTGGAGATACCCAGGACCCTGACAAGACAGTGGAAATACTGTGGTTTATAACTGCAAACCAAGTGTATATGAGTAACCTATGAATTCCAGGAAAAAGAGCAAAGAGACAGCACAGCAGGCTCTGCTCTCAATACCGTCACAGCAAGATTTATTAACGTGTTATCTGGGAGCGTTGAGGCTTTGGTTAGTGTATTAACAACACCATATAAGTTCACACAGACACACGGAGCAAACACTCATTTAAACATGTTTTAAAAAAAAAGTTCAAACCAAACCAAAACTTGGTCCAGAAATTAAATCCAAGCAGCCAAAAATCAAGTATATAATCAGGAGAAACTGGTTATACAGAAGGAAGCAGGGTGAGATTCCAGAGATTTTTGTGATTTGTGGATTGAGCTGAAATCAAGTTGAAAGAGATGGAGAAAATATATTCCGATATAAAAACATATTTGCATTTAGGGAAAGTGAATCAAAACTTCCATCTGGAGAAGACCAAGACAATGAAAAAGGTGGTAGTGTAATGAAGTAAGACCAACAGATGCAGGTTTTAGCTTGAAATACTGTTGCACAGTCATTCTACTTCTAACAGAGTAAGTCAGTGATCAGGATACTAGACCTGGCGGGTGATCCGCAAGGAGATACACTGAGACAAGACTAGAATAAAAGCTGAGCACAATCTGGGACAAATGATGGGAGCGTTCATTGAGAGGAACCTTTAATTGGATGAAGAGATGGCTTACAGTGCTACAGGTATCACCACTCGACACATTTATTGGTGTATTATTATTGATCTAATCCTCAGCAAGAGCACTGTTATCCAGAGTTGGTCACACTTAAAGCAAAGCAATGTCTAAACCTAAGAGCAAAGAGTAACTTTTTAATGGAAAGTGACCTCAGCGGTGGAAATGACCTAGCTATCAAAGCTGAAATCTTAAAATATCACATGTGTTTTGAAGTCTGCTTGCAGCTTGTCCACAGAACTCGAGGAGTCAGAGCTCTTCATAGGTTGGTTTGTTTGTTTGTTTTTAAACCAGGCAGATAGAAAACTCAGCAAGTTTCCCAAGCCCCAATTCAGAAATGAATAAAATCCCTACCTATTTAGACTCTCCAAGAGAAGGAAAAGTCTCCAAAGGTCATTTATCATTGAGATAACTTTGACTGAGACACACTGGAGAACAGGTGACTACAAATTCCTCTTACTTTAAAATCAACCTACAAGGCACTCCTCTCCTGGGGTCATTTACTCTGAGGCAGGGAAAGTTATGAATTGAAGCCAGAGAAAGGAAGATAAAACATCATTAAAAGTTTAAAAACAGAGGGAAAATTTGCTATGTGTCCCATAAAGAGTAAGTAAAATAAAATCCCCCCCTCAAACAGCTTACAGACTGGATTATTTCTCTTTCTGATAATTGCATTGAAAAGTACTTTTAATTGGTTTAAAAAGAAGACAGGGATCACTCTCTGTCCAATCCCTCCAGCCAAGTCCCTTGCCTCTGTATCCTCTAAAGACGCGTGCAGGACTGAATGCACATGGTGATGAGGAGGCCTTACAAAGAGGGTTGGTAGCTCCAGAATAACTTGCGGACAAGAGGGTATTTTCTTCTCCTTGTCAAAGGACACCAGATTGTAAATTCAAAGAAAATACTTGAAATTTGTGAATTCCAATAGCATTTCAAAGAGAAGGTTGAAAAGCAGAGATTTTAAAGTAAACTGCCTTTTTTGTACTCAGAATTTTGGTATCTCAAATAAAGGCAGGGTTAGAGGGAAGAGCACAACAGGCCCTAAACTCAAGCAACATAAAAGGTCTGGAAGGAGGGGAAAAAAAAAAAATTCAACAAACTGTTTCTTAAGCCCTGCTTTAAAGATACCCTGTTCTAAAGAGACCTCAAACAGCAAGCATTACTGTGTACAAAAATAGAATAGCAAGGATGAAAAAACACAAAAAACAGTATGAAAAAAACCCTCCCAAAAATAGATGTACACAAGTTCTATTTTATATTAGTGTATATTACAAAATTCAAACATGCAGTCTCTATTTTGAATGTAGAATGCTCCAGTCCACGCGTACCAGGGATGCTGCTATGTTTTCTTTACAGCACCATCATGTGACAGGGGAAAGTCTTGTATTTTTAACTGATTTCCAACCTCTTTGCTTTTTGCTAGTGTGAGAGTCCCTTCCTTACAGGGCCTTGTGCTGCCATCTGGCAGAGGAGAGGCTCTCAGAGCTGCTTGTCCAAGAGCGTGGGATAGCTCTTTTGATGGAGTGATTTTGCAGCTACCTCCCAACGCTTCAGACGCTTTAGCGCTGCAAAAAGTTGCTTCCTTTTTTGCCACCACAGGACATGTCGCCTCCCAGGGCTTCGCTGAGTTTAATGACTCTGCGCAGGACCCACTCCTTGTGGTCAGACGGTCTGTGCTAGATAGTTTGGCTTTCTCTTGACACGCACCTGCTTGTGAAGTTTCCTGTCTTTTTTGTTTTGAATCTCTCTCTTCTTTACAGGAGGCACCCGAATGGGGGAAATCCTTTCTCTTTTCCAACTCTCCAGAACCAGCCATACTGAGCTTCAAAGGGCCTAACACGCTCTGAGCCAGCGGCACTAACTGAGACACAGAGAGAGCTCTTTCGATAGCGCCGGGGACGAGGAGCGTGGAGGACACAGGACCTGCTGGGCTCGTCTTGCTGGCAGTAGAACCGCTCTCTGCCTCAGACGAGCTGGGCTGCTTTTCAGTACTAGGACTTTTGTGGGACATCTTGCTCGCACTTCCAGGGGACAGAAATGAGGTGCTGTGCTGTTCTGTAGGCTGAAGCATCTCCTTGTGATCCTTCTTGCTGCGATCGGCGGGACTTACCGAGAGAGGAGTGCTCACGCTTGCCGTACACCATGAAGAAAGTGCCAGCAGAGGTTTGGAATCCTGTTTTTTCTGACTGCTTTCTGTTAGCAGAGAGTCCTTCAGGTCAAGTTTACCACACGAGGCCCCTGAAGAGTCACCTTCTTCAAGTTCCAAGAGTCTGATAGATGGGCATTGTATATGTTCTGTGTGATCTACTGTTTTTTGAACACTTGTAGTTCTCCCTAGGTCTTTGATTGCTTCAGAAGACTTGTCTTTTGGACCAAAACACTCAAAAGTTTTGTTTTCTGGCAATTTATGTTCCTTTGCAGTTGTTTCTGATCTCAGGAATGGCTCTTCTGAATTAGCTATTTTTTCTAGAGAAGTTCTTGGGAGGGCCTCTGATGGAGAAGGGTGCACACCGATTTGCAGTGGCTCTGAAACAGGCTTGGCTTGTTGACCATTTCCCTTCTGTAAATCTTCTGTACCTTTTGGATCTTCAGGTAGAAAGGCATCATCTTCAATACTATCTTTGCTTTCCAATTTAGATGAAAACTTATTATCCTCATTAAAAGAATCTGAGCCCTGGTCTCCACTGTCAGGGGGCTTGTCCAGTCTTCTCCCGTCCTGACTATCTTCTGAACCATCATCCGTTTCATCTTCAGAAGAATCGACTTCTCTGATGGCCTCTTGCTTTTGCAGAGACTCCCTCCTCTCCACCCTGTCCTGTCGAATAGCACCCAACTTCCGTGAACCCGGCTTCTGCAACATCCCTTTTTCCGCTAGCCCAAGTTTGCCACCTGTTGTTTCATTCACAGATTCTTGTAAGCTCTGGAGACTAGGATCTCTCTGTAACATCTCCTTCTTGAATTCAGAGTGAGAGATATCCAAGCTGTGCTTGCGTGAGGAAGCCAGCTTCTTCTCAGAAGAGGACAGCGAGGCAGCTAGTTTCTCAGCTGACTGCACTCTCTTTAGCAAAGGAGATCTGGGAGGCTCAGCACTTTTGGGGCGAGAAATTTGTCTCACCAGTGGTGGAGAGGAGTGTAGTTTTACTGGGAAAGACTGAATAATACTGGAGCTGCCAACTGAGTGTCCTGGTAAAGGAGATGGGGAGCGCTGCGGTGATGTGGACTGTGGGGTTGGCGATGGAGTGTGAGCTAGTGGTGACAGAGGGATATTTCCTGCAGATTTACGCCTCGGAGATCTGTACTGCCTTTGAAGCTTTGGTGCTAGTCCATGCAGAGAGCTGGGTCGGATGTGTCCAGAGCTGGCTGGAGAATTGGGAACACTGGAACTAGGAGAGCTGCTCTGGGAAGAATTGCCACCAACTTTAAAAAAAAAAAAAAAAAAAAAAGACTAAGAACATTAATATATATTTGGCCATTGAAACAAGTTACTGAAAATAAAACATGCAAAAGCAAGACAAAATGCCATGTTACCACAAAGCACTGCAGTGATATTACAAGGTAATATTGCATGGCTTCTGATGGGAAACTCGCATCGTTGTCACATAACACCAGAACATAGTGAGAAACACTCTGCTATCAGAAGGTTTTTTCCAAAAAAACCTTCCAAGCAGATGAACCATGTGTTTCATTGTTATTCTCAAGATGCAAATCTCTCTATTCCATCAGCTGATTCAATTTTCAAATATGACTGTGCCACACTGTTTTGATTCCTTTTCTCTGAACTAATACAGAAAATGTGTCAAACTGCTACAAAAACATTGCAACTTACAATACACATTTGCATCAAATTGAAAAGATGCTGTACTACAGCAAATACATTCTTAAAAGGATGTATGGATTTTCATTTTTAAATCAATCAATGAACGAGAATACATCCATCCTTTAGGCAATCGACATCAGAGCTGTCATTTTACTTCACAAACAGACCTCCTACCTGCTGCTGTATATTTTACTTCAGAAATTAATCAATAAGCAAAAAAATCTTCTACTTCTTTTTTTCTGTTTGTGTGGATTTTTTTTCTTTTGATTCATTTTTTACCTGAGTGTACAGACTCAGGAGTGGATCTGTAACTCTGCGTTGGTGACCGAGGAGACAGGTTGTGAGTTGGAGAGCCGGGCACACTTTCTCCAGAAGACAGAGAGCGGTTCAGTGAAGATAAACTCCGGCTGGTGTGAAGTAGTGATGCTTGTTTAGTGATCTTCCTCAACAAGGAACTCTTCTTCTTACTGTGGAAGAGCATTCAGAAGTTGTTTACAAGCCCAAATGATTTTTTACCCATATTGTCATAATTCACTCAATTTTATGTCACAGTTAAAGAAAGAAAGAAAACAAAAAGAAAACTGAAGGAGGTGCCTACTGATATACATTACCTGCAAATTGATTTGAAAATATCTCTCTTACATTATTTTGGTTACCATTTAATTTTCACAGAGAAACATCAAAACAAACCTTTCCTGACCATCCTTAGTTTTGCTCTTCTTGTTCCTACGAGCCATCTTGGATTTGTAGCTGGCTTTTCGAGCTGGACCAACTTTGATGGATGTGTTCTCAAATGGCGTGGTGGAGATGGACACTTTATTTCCACTCTGTCACAAACAAGACAGAGACATTACTTAAAACATGGTTATTTGAGGCAGATCTGCAGGCTAAGCAGGTAGGCTGCTAGTTTACTGCTGCCTGCCATTTTGTAATCCTTTGTCAAACTCCATTTCCCCCTCTGCATTTCCACTTATCATTTATTAAGGAATTGCTGAGAGAGAGCCCTCTTTAGTCAGGCTTTCACAAATGATTAGCTCGGACACCAGCTGGTAGGTAAAGCTTCCCAGAGCAGATAGAACACAGCACCTGACCTCTCCCACGGAGAACCCAACTGCCTCAATTTAATACTTGTAATACTTGGAAACTTGAACAAAGTGGTATTCTGTCACCAATGCTATTACCAGTGCTCTGACTGATGGCAGATGTGAGCATATCAGGCATCTATCTTGATGAATCTGCAACACAGAGCATGGCTTGTCTCACTCATCTTAAAAAAAAAATAATAAATTCCTGATTGCTGCTCTATTTGCAGTCTGAAAGACTTCTGTCTCTTGGAACAGTCCAAAACTTTGGGGTTTATTTCTGTAAATGGATTCAGCTCAGAGGAGGTATCAAAACGCAAGTCATTTAACTGGATAATTTTAAGACCAACCATTACAAAGCTGCTTTTAAATACCACTAGGAATAATCCCTGAGAAAGCAGTATTAAGAGCTAATAACATTAGCACAGCCTAAAGGCAAAAAAATAAAAGCAATTTGGAAAATTTTTAAGGTATTTGTTTCTTAAAGTGATGTTTGAGGAAAGGTATACTAAATACTTAAATCTTATTAACTTTTGTTTCTACTGCTGATAAAAATGTATGACAGGTCCTTATTTCTCATACAAAATATCTGATTTCAGCTTAAATTACATGCAGAAGTCTTTGAGATTTAGGGATCAAGCCTGCAGCAATGTGTTTTTGCAACACAAAGGCCAGGTGCTGTGTACATACTTGTAATTCAGACAATGCCAATTAGATACATACGGTGTTTTAAACAGGCTGGCTCATAATTTCCAAAGCATAACAGTGCTGAGTCCCTACCTTCAGAATCAGCTCCACCACTTCCGTGTGCACCAGTCCATGGACTGGCTCCCCGTTGACATGGGTTATCAGATCCCCTTCACGCAGACCTGCTTCATTTGCTGGACCACCTTCCTCCACGTGCTGGCAACAAGAAAGGGATGACTGATTTGAGAAAAGGAATGTACAAGATCGCTGGCCAGATCAGACTCAAAGCCCATCCATCTCATCTCTTGCTACAGCCAGCATCAGCTGCTTCAAAGAAGGGTGAAAGAAACCACTGACTGGCACAGCCAAGCACAAATATCTGTGCTCTTCCACTCCTCCCCCAGCATCCTGCCAGTCTTCTCCTGATCCAAGGCAGCCAGCCAGGATGGTTAAGCTGATCAAGAGACCAGCTCCTCCTAAAGCAAAAGGCTTAACACACTTCCAAAAATTTTCAGCACTCAGGAATGTTAACTAGATGCTCTTGTTTTCCAGACAAGTATTCAATCTTTTTCAATTTCTCTGCCATCCCAAGCCCAGTATCCTTCCATGTACATGCTGGAACCCAAGGCGGCCAACAGACTTCTAAATAAGACTCTGTGCCAGGTGTTTGGGATGAGATGCAATATCGGCACCCTAAACAGTTTCTTTTTCCACTTTCTGTCCTTTATTAACCTATCCAATATCAGATCTTTTCCCCTATGAATACACTGCCTTTCCTCATCGCTGTTCAGAAAGGTAAGCCTCCTTTACAGTGAGGAGACAGATATACTTGAGAATACTGCAACACCCCCTCTAGCCAGAAAAGGCCTCAAATCAGTATCTTGATAAACACAACATTTTTCAAGGAAAGCAGAGAGAAGCAAGGGAAAAACACGGGTTCAGATTATTTTTCTAGGTAAGAATGAGTGTTAAATAATGATCAAAGCATACGAATTTCAAATTGTCTAATGAACACAGAAATACAAGGAAAAGAATGAACCACCTTCACCCTGAGTCTGTTCTCCCTAACTACAAAATTCAAACAACACTGCTTTGGGGAACGGATCATTGCTAAAAGTCGTATACATTAACAGAAAATGAACACAGAGATCAAGTACCAGAAGTAATGGGAAGGAAGAGATACAGACATGGAAACCAGACATTTTAGCATAGCACACAACTAAGCCAAGAGCTAAATCCCTAGGCAATCAGCATACCAGCAGTGATGCTTTAAGGCTTGTAATCAATTCCAAGCAACTGCTTGGAAAACCCCAGCAGACTGAGCTGATCAGAAGCAGGCTATAATCGCTAACACAGGTCTGAATAAATTAGCTACAACTGGCCCTCATGCAACAACCCCGGATAAAGAGAAAGGGGGTATGTACATAGAAACATGCTTTAAAGTATGTGCTACAGGTGAAAGAAGGTGGATTCATGTAACCAGGGAAGAAGGAAGGAAAGAAAGGTTGCTGTGGTTCTGTGATGGGCTTGAAAACTGCTACAGATAAAACCCAAAGTGCTGATATTTATTTATGTATGTTTGTATGTATTTATTTTTAAAGGGTTTCCCCCACTGCAGAAAGATAACTTTGGGTCCAAATAAAGAGAGAGAAAACAGGGTGGCAAAATACAATTTATAAAGCTAAACCCCACAACCCTGGCTAAATGCATTTCTGGCCCCAAGGGTACTCCTTTTAGAAAAGCAGAGACATACCCAGACCATGTGATGCACAGTGTAGATATCACTGTCACCCATATAGACGCGAATGGCACGGAGAGTGAAACCGTATTTCTTTCCAGCCCGATGGATGATGATTGGTGGTTTCAGGTTTGCAATAGCAGGAGAAAAGTCGCGGCTGGGTGAGGAGTCCCTCGAAGATGGGTTGGAGGATAGAGAATGAGGTGACATTGGACTGGCCAATGGAGAACACGTGTGGTGATCTACAGTGATGACACAAAGGTGGGCAAAAATTAGGAAACCAGGCCTCCAAAAGAGAGAAAATTCTTGTTAGAGAACAGCTAGGAAACCAACTCTCCCAATGCTCTTAAGCTGGTGGTCTTCACCAGAGCTGGGTTTGCCTGAAGCTTCAACTAATTCACGCTTTGAAATACAAAAATCAGCAGTTTCCAAGGAAGCACATTTGGAGGTGTGTATTTAATAAAGCAGCACTGCTCGCCTAGGATTATGGTTGGGTCAGTGTTTAATTCTTCTCTTTCTGGGATTCACAAACACATCATAAGCACTTGCTCTAGGCACAATCCTGGAACACCCCATTTCAAGGTTATCATATATTATCCTCCTCCAAAAGATCAGGTAAGTCTCTAGATCTTGGTGCAAGTTACATGTTGGTACTGATAAATCATAATCCGTTAGTATTAACACAAAAAAAACCCCAGTAGGCAATCAAAGAACAACTACATCTAGGCAGTTTTGGTAGTGTTTTAAATTCACAGGGACAAAAACATTTAACCCTAAAAAATTAGCTACTGCAGGGACTTTGTTACTGAAAAACATCACAAGTGTATTTCAGAGTGCGTTTCCCAAATGAACAGCCAAGGGCTGGGCTACTGGCTAAACTATCTGACTCTGCTTACGAGTGGAACAACCTCCGGCCTTAAAAACACAAAGCAAATACAGAACTCTCATTTTAAAGTGAAGCTGATCAACATCAGTAAAATAAACCCAAAGAGCAGGAATATTAAATGCAGTTGTAAAAGGTAATCCCTAATCCATTAAGAAACACCTGCTGAACGGCCCAGCACATATTTACCTGGCAGATGAGAGCAGCTCTGGAGAAACCTTTGCTGTGTGATTAAATACACATTTTAGAGATTTTCACGAGGGAGTCAGTAGCTGAAAAAGCAACCAACACCCAAACCACAAGAAATGTAACGTGTATCACCATGACAGTACCAAGAAACAGTTGCATACCTGCCTCCAGCTCTGGGCTGAGAGGGGCAGGCAGGCATTGCTCTGCCAGCAGGTTCCGCTGGGTTGGCACTGGTGGCCCAGCTGCAATTTCCTGGTCCCACCTAGGCAGAACAGGTACAGCCCTGGAAATACAGCAAGGACTTACCCTCCAGAAAGAGGGACAAAGTCCTTGAGGGGAGAGTCTGCTGCTGAACCAGTCTGTCATAGCTCAGTCTGTCATAGCTTGGCATGGCTGGGCTGTTCACTAGAAGTTACCACCTGGCATTAGGGATTGTCAAGGTCTGGCTCTGCTTGAAGACAGAGCTGGGCCAACAATGCAGTGTTGACTGACTTTGTGAGTTAACTCGCACTACTGAATTCTTGAACACTTAATCTCAACCAAGTAATCTGGAGTTACTGAAGCTTCCCGGTGCATGAACACACCAGGCACATTCAGTTCTCAAACAGCACCATAATTCGCATGTGGCCCCCCAAAATAGTACCTTGAGGGTTAAAATCATTCCGTGTTTCTACACCTCCTTGCTACACCATTGTCTAGAGACCATATAGGAGCCAATTTAAACAAAATTAGGGAAAGAATAAGGCCCAGCTGCCATTTGCAGAAGCTGCAGTCAGACCACACACACAATGCTCCTGTCTGTGGCAAAGCAATATTCATCATCCTGCCGAGTAGTAAATATTAAACCGATTGTAAAAGTTAGATCGCTCCCCTCCTGCCAGCAAGGGCATTATTCCAGGAGAGTAAGGGGGAGGATCTGTCTGCAGACCTTTTGTTTAGTGCTTGCAGATTCTGACAATGCCTCACCCAAGGCATTTCTTACCTGAGGGAATCAGGAGAGACAAGGCAGTGGCGGATGCTGATTTAATCACTTTATTGACAGGTCTCGAGGCACGTTTCTCCCCTGATTCCCCAGAGAGCAACCTGTGTCGTGCCCGCCGCACTGCCAAATCGCTGATGGCTTTTGGTGTGGTAAAGTCTGGGCCTTCATTGCTATTACTGCGAGCTCGTGGATCAGAGAAATCTGCAGTGCTCCCAGCTACAGTTTAAATTAAAACAGATTAGAACCACAGGGAATTCCTAACAGTCTATTCCCCTACAGGCAAAATACATTAAATCAAAGTCATGTTTACATGGAGTCCAAGAGTAAATTTTCCTAAGAAGAAACCCCAGGGCTTGAATTTTTATTTACAGAAATGTTGTTATTCTGAATACAGAAAATTAGCAGCTTCTATTCTGTTGGAAAAGCTCACTAACGAAATCACATTGCTCAGTAGCAGTTACGTGAATCCTAAAGCTGTGGTGCAGTTCTACAGGCAAGCCATTTCAGTGGGATCATTCACAGATGAAAACAGGTTTATGGGAAGTGCTCCATTTTTACAACCAGCAAGAACTGTCAATCTAAGTTAAAACTTCCTGTAATAGACGAGTCAGTTTCTACTGGAGTTGCACGTAAAAAAAATCCACTTTAAGAGAATACTAAGGTACTAAAGTCAGGGAAAGTAAAAATTTGGATTGCAAAGACAACCTTAATTTTCATCCTTCTGTGCACTGTTGCAATTTAGTCTTGAATTACTTAACCTGCTATGATTATATATAAAATGCAAAGTAATCCTGAAAATCAGACTGGGCATGTAACAATAGCAGATGCTGGGGGCTGGGGCTGCTGTACTCAAGCTCAGTGCCTCAGTTCCCCATCTGATACCTTAAAGGGGCACTGTGAAAATACATTAATTAGAATTTACAAGGTGCTTAGAAATGAAAGTGGTGAGCATCACAGCAAGTCCACAAGGGAAATTAATCATTCTGTCTTCAAAAGCAAATTTTAAGCAGCCTGCAATAAATAAAGCCTAAGGGCCACATTTTGAACAATGAGGACAGAACAAAACATTGATCATTGTTATTTAAGCGGGCACCACTGCTCTGCATACTAAGTAAAGCAGGAAGTACCATGAAAATAAAAATTCAAAGCACCATTCCCATAGACCTCAGTACCAGATGCCTGTTCAACATTTAACAGCTACAGAGTTTCAAATAAGGCTGCCAGACAATGAGGAACCCAGAATCGGAGGCTGCATGTGAAAAGGCTACATTAGAGGAGCACTCTGAGACAGCGACAAGAATTAAATTCCTTTCTTACAGTCCCCTGCTTCTGCTTTAACTTTGTAGGCTGGGGACACTGAAGCAACGGTATCCCTGAATCCCATGTGCTGGATTAAAGACTGCTCTAATGCGTTAGGCTCAGGGGAGCAGGCTGCCCAGGGAAGCTTCATTTTTGCTTATTTCAACTTGCAGATACTCAAATTTGCAATGACATTGTTCTTGCAATTTTTAATAGCTTGTTTCTAGGCTTTTAGTATGAAATTGAGAAACTAAGGTTCCACCATGGCACCTCTGCCATCCACATATGTGGTAGCTTACTTCCTTCACTCCTTTTCCCATGGGTTAACGGAGCACATGATGGCAGCACCAGGCCTCTTCTGGGAGGATGAGCACAGAAGGGAATGGGACAATTTTGAGGGAATTTCAGACTGAATTGCAGAAGAGGAATAATGAGACGTGGGGATCTCTTGCTTTACTCTAGTCTGGAGGCAATTTTCCTCCTTTCCCATGATATCTGCCCAGTGCCCTTCAGCTTGTCCTTGGTCCAGTCTTGCTGCCATTCTGACTTATTGCCTTTCTTCCCTCTCCTTTCCATCCTCAATCCATCCACAACTGTTTTGCCACAACTGCTTGCCCGCAGTTTCTCCCAGCACCTTGTTTCTTATTTCCTTACCCAGTTAAGTCCTTGTTCTTCAACACTGCTGTCTAGTTCTTTCCCTAAATATGCTTTCCTTCTCAAGTATTATCTTAGTCAGCCTTCAATTCCCTGCTCTCTTCCATTGGTCCAAATTTCCTTTTTTTCCTCCTTACTACTTCTCACCAGTTCCCAGCTCTGGCCTCCTCTGATCTCAGAAATAGGCAGCTTTGCCTTCCCAGTGCCCCAAAAGGGGCAGAAGCTGCGTACACTCCAGCACCCAGAGCCCAGCCGTGCCCTGAAGCAGCCCAGGGCACCACTGCATGGAAGGTTCAGCTCAGCCCAGTGCTGGAGAGTGGCCCCAGGCCAATCAAAACTTCTTAGAAGTCAGACTTCTAAGACCCATTCTACTAAACTTAGGCTGCATGTTTTTAAGCCTGCAGCTTGGCTAAATTTGGGGATATTTGTCTGATACAGAAAGTAACATATCCCTGACACAAACCCCACTCCCCTAGCAAATATCAAGTCTTTACTCCAAACTCTTTGGATAAATAAAGCCACAGGAAGCAGGGGTCTGTTAGTATGGCTGACACCCATATCCTCCAACTCAGCAGTGATCTGCTCTCACTAATGCTTAAAATAATGCTGCCTCAGGTAGGCACACAGCAGTTGTAAGCAGGCATAGATCATATGAGTCTCAAGCATGAGAAGACCTTAATCAATTTGAAGTGACAGGACTGAATTACAAAATGTAATTTTGAAGAGATTAAACCACTGATGTTACTTCAAAGGTAGGCACATCCAGAAAAATATATTAAAATAACCACTTAGTATGAGACATTCCCATCAACCGACATCCAAATCCACAGTTTTACAGAGTTAACGCCTGCAAGCTAACACAGCTTTCTCGGGGACCACGACACCATCACACCGAGCACATACCTGTCAGCGTTGAGGCGCTGCTGACGGCCGTGGAGGGGGTGGTGGGTCCAGCATCACCTTCCAGCTGCAGCTCCTGCTCCACAGGCTGTTCAGGAATGGGCACTGGGAGTCCCTCCCGCGACTGCACAGCAGATAAGAGCATCCCCTCGGACTGCGGCCTTTTGAGAACAGTTCCCTCATCCTCGGCTGAGATGGCAAAACGCGGCATATCGAGAAGCCCTGAGCAGCGTCGGCGAACCGTCAAGGGTGGGCTGGAGTCACTCTCCGTGTGTGAGGATTCGGACATAGACAAGCGCTTACGCAATCTAAGTGAAAAACCAAACCTCAGTGAAGGGTGAAAATAGCACAGACCCAACTCACATCTGAAGCCAATTTAAGGTGAAGTTAGGGACCAAAGCTACAACTGGGGCACCACCTGAGTTTAAATTTCCAATATATTCCATTGTTAAGCATATAAGAAAGGAAGGAATAAAACTAAAGAAAAATACAATACAATGAATATAGTAAATAATATAAAAATAACAATTACAAAATGCAAATCATGTTCCTTTTGGAATTAGATTAATTTTTCTTTCCAAGTTGCTGTAAATTTGAAGCTAGGAAGGTCTGATGCAAGATGAAGTCCACAAGAGTGTAATCTATAATTTTATTTTTTTTAAACGGAGTCATACAGACTAGATCACAACCACATTTTATAATCTTTCTAAAGCAAAACATCAGTGTAAAAGCTTTACTGGAGGTGCACAAAATGAGAGATACCCCTCTTAAGGAAAACTTGACAATTATTTCAGTAATGTGAGAAAAATGGTGGGTATCCAAATTCTGAGTATTCATATATTTTACTGACATTTTTTATTAGAACACAAGATTTTTTTTTGATATTCTGAACTTCAGAAGTCTTTGGACTTTCCTAATTGTTTCTCTAATTTGTGACAAATGGTAAAATTCTGGCAACAGCAGACTTTGGATTCAATGATGTTTAAGAAAAAACTGCTGTTGGTACATCTCCAATGTAACTAGTCCTTCCAGAAATGAAAGCTTTACTTAAGGCTAGAATTCCTTCAAATTCATTTAAAATATTTGCTACAAATTTGAGAGATATCAGTACTTAACTTGATACATTTAAAGACCGTATCACTTTGATACATTCTTTCTCAGCTATTTATTCCAGGCTTCACCTGTGGCAATACATCATATGAAGCATTCCTGACCTAACACTGGTCACGGAGTTTTGGCACAGGTCAGTCTTTCTCAGATGCTGTAAGAAACCACAAGACTTAGTTCTACAGAACTTACATTTCAGGAGACCCAATCACCCAGCTGCGGTCTCGACTCTTCAAGCCTCCAAGGCTGTCCAGGCGATCATCTTTTTCTTCACTCAGGCTCCGTTTAGTCGGGGGTGGAGTCTTCCTCTCTTCGTGGATGGAAAGACGTTCCATGCTGCTGTACACCTGCATATAGCAAAAGATCCTTCTGTACAGAGAAAACAAACCTAGGTGGCCTTTTCTGATCAAGGGGCATAATCTCTTCTCAAAATGGAAGATATTCCCTGAAAGCATGAGCTTGGCAATGTTCTTTGACTAAATAACACAGTGGAGATGTGACATGCTCAAAGCGTGCTACGGAGGAAAGGGAAAAGACAAACTTCAGAAACATTAAACGTGTTTTTCTACACAACAGCACCCAATACCTCTCCTCTGGAAACAGCCCAGCACAGAGAGTATTTTTGAAAGACTTTTTGAAACTACTTGATTTTTGTCTTTAATGTTTCTCAAATCTAAGAGGACATATTGCTAAAGCAGGCTCCACAAGTCTCGAATGTTGGCATTTGGATCTTGAAATCTTACTACACAAATTCAATTCAGTGATAGGCATCATGCTCATGACCCCATTTCATTATCATCAGTCTATCAGCATTGCCCCAAGCTTATTTCAGAACAAAAAAGTCCTGCCCTCCTCAAGGAATCTACTATAAGGCTGACAGCTTAATGAAAGTGCCTTTCTTGGTTTTACAGCCGTCTTTAAATAATTAAATGATTAAGCAAAAAAAATCCATCCTTTTAAAACTACACTTGACTGTGGACCTAATTTACATAAGAAGAGATTAATGAAAATAATGTTATTAAAAATTCAGAGCATCAACAAGATAACTATTAATAAATCATATGGCTGAATTGTCAGACAAGAATTTCAAAATATAATGAGCCTTTTATGCCTCCCACATTACAAATGCTGTATAATTTTCCAGGTCTTAAAATAAATTCATTAAAAGTGAACTTTTTCTCTTTGTGGCAAAAACACTGAACCCTAAAGAAAAGCTTCAGTCTAACAGATGAATAATACTCACGGTGAGAAAAGGCAGAAAAAAGAAACCCTTATGTACTCATGAGAACTTTTTCAAAACCCCAACTAATCCTCAGGTCCAATTTTAAACATACTTTTGGTGATGCAAATCAGGAGCAACTCCATGAAATTAGTGGTAACTGTTACTTAAACCACTGTAGTCTGGCTGAGGACAAAGGAGAACAAACTGGTGCTTCAAAACTGACTTCAGTAGTAAAAATCTGGAGGAACTGTCATGAAAAACTGAAATGCCTTTCAGAGGCACTAAGTGAAATTCACACTCCCAGCTCGTTAAGAAGAGGAAAATACAATTCATACAGTGGGTTGACCTCAAAAGACTGTTTCTTCTCCTTTCTACCCCTCCCCAAACATACTTTATTTTATCCAAACTAACAATGGAGTTGTACTACTTTGAAATGTCTGGAATTCCAACTTTTTATTTCAGATTACCCGAGTAAGAACGAGACACCTGCACAGACCTGAGTACAGAAAGCATGGCTAGAGGTGACCTCCTCAGGGCCACCTGCCCACTTCCCCACTTCAAAGCAGAACCAGCTCTTTTGTAACACCTGACAGATGTTTCTCCAACCTCTTCTGAAGAGCCACCAGGGATGGAAATTCTACAAATTCCCCAGGCAACCCATGCCGGTGCTTAATTATTGTTTAATATTGCAAAATTTCTCTTACTGTCTACACTATACCTCCTTCGCACCCACCATTTCATATCAGTTCTGAGTAGAACAGGAAGACCAATGTCCTCCTTTCCTTCTAGCACATTAGGTTTTATGCTCTGTAGATCTCAGATCATTCTTGTTGCTTTCCTCTGGACTCTCTTTTACTGGTTCATGTTTATTTTCAAAAACATTGCCCAGAACAGCACAGAGTACCCCAGCTATGGTCTTCCTACTGCTAAGCAGATGGAAAGGATTTCTTCATTTGCCTTGCAGAAAATATTTGTCCTTGCCCAGTACGGTAACTGCCTTTTTGCTTCAATAATTTTGCACATCTATCTCACAATGCACTATATGCCCAGATCCTTCTCTCTGAAATTGTCACCTTGCCTTTTGTTCCTCAGGCTGTGTTTGAGACAACGAACAACAGCAAAGCTGTAAACTTCACCTGTGCTCTTACTGCATGGGTTCCCTTTGATTTTAGACCATTATTCCAAAACGTCAGAACCAATTTTCATCCAAATACCATCTTGTCACCTACTGGGAGACCCTTTCAGAATGACACCATTCAAAGCAAATAAGCTTTGGACACTCCCTACGCCAGCATCCAAGTCATTAGCAAAATCATCAAACTACCAGATGCAGAAGAGACCTCTGCAGTACCCTGCATATTAGTGAAACATTAAGAAATATAAAAGCTCATTCTCCAATTATTTTGGCACTCACCTTCTAACAGGCCACAAATTATCACAGAATAAACAATATATACAGTTTTTTCTTTCCTTAGTGAATACTAAACACCGTGTAACTCCTACATATCATCTGCATGGTTAAAATCCACCCCATACAAAGCAATGAAACTGTGTTCCTCTCCAGATATTTTTCTTTCAACAAGCTAGCATGCTCCTACCTTGCTGAACCTTGGCGAGCATGAGGAAAACTGCCGAATTTCCACATGATCATCATCATTAGTGTCCTCCTCTTCTTCTGAATCCAGGTGTTGGTACCTTTCTGAGCGGGCTGTGAACAAGACATGGCACATTTCATCAGGGCTGGGAGTGTTGATAACTCTCAGACCTCACACCTTTCTACTTGTCTACTTACAAAGAACTTTTGAGCGCTCATACGCCATGCAGCATATTTTCCTTAATAAACATACCCAGCCAGTTTTGTTCATCCTGTACAATTAGCAGTGAGGAATACCTCCTTCCTACTAAATTTATCCTATCAGTTATATTATATCCTGAAAGTAGCCAATACTCAGCAAGTGTCTAATCCTGCAGACCCTCTGTGGTAGGGATTTCTTCCCTACAGCAAACAATCATATGGAAGGAAACACAGAAACAATTCAGTGCCCCAATTTCCAATAAACAGCTTTATGACTGTATACAGACTGTCCTGCACACATACATACAAGCCTTCTTTAAAAAATAAAAATATTTACTCCCCAAAAATATTTCCTCTTCTCCCTCCTACAACTAGAAAAAGGATTAGCTTTTGTAAAAGAAAATGGGCAAGCAGCCAATATGCAAAGCTATTTTTTAATGCAAAAATCTAAACTGCCTCCAAAGAGATTTTGTGCTTTGAGATTTGCAGCACTGGATTTCTAAGACAGCCACACTGGATTCTGCAGGGTGGGCATTAATAAGTTTGGCTACAGAAAGCTGATAGCTATACTGAGCCAAATTTGCTGCACTGTATCAGTCAGAAAGCTACTTTTATAAATTCTAAAATTTTCTGCATTAGGGTTTATAACAGTAATGCCAACTCTTATCAGTGTCTATGTGAGATATTTCCAGCCTTTATAAAGGACTCCCATCGAAGTCACCCTGATAACCTACTGAGCATGCCTGGGCACGTGGGGAGTTTGCTGTCATTCCTTATTGACAGGTCCAGTGTTTTGGATCACTAAAACACGATGTGGTGCTTTTACCCACTGGGATCCGCTCGGGGCTGCTGTACTGCTCCTCTCCCAGACACTGACCCCATTCAGTGACCAGAGCTCAAGTTGCTATGTCCAATAACACTGGCAGAAACACACCGTCACCTTGGTTTCTACATCTGTGTTGTACCAGTACAACCTCAATGTATGCAAAACCCACCTCTGCCACCCCTCTGCACAGCTTGACTCAAATCTCTCTGCAGCAAGTACATGGAGATTTCTCAATATCTGTCTCTCTCTCTATCCAACCCCTAACTTAAAGGCCTCTTTTCTTCCCCAAAGAGGAAGAGCACTATCTAAATAGGATCACTGCTTTTGCACTGTGGCAGCTGAGGGGCTGGATGCAGGCTGCTCTCTCCCTCCTTTCACCCTGAGCAAAGCGCAGGGTTAGAGCAAAAATGTGCTTCATACAGAGTCAGTGGGTCCCACGGTCCTGGGAGAAGGATGGAAGAGATTCCACTGAAGTAGGACAGAAATGTCCATAGCTCAGGGAATCAGTATCATCCTGTGCTGCAATTGGAGTGGGAGAAAGACTCCCCTCATCAGTGACAAGCCCAAGCCCTTTCCAACTGCTCAGTTCCCCAAGTCAAATGAGACAGACTAGGGAGCAGAGGCTCTGGGGACAGAGACTTCTTCATCCTTCACATGACACTCCCCCCCTCTCTCCCAAGAGCACCAACTCTGTCTGGTGCTTATCTGGAAATACCAGAAATCTTACACAGCACTGATACCACAGCAATTCTCAGACATTCATACACACCAGACATGCACGTCACTTCATATCTCATTAGAGTTATAATAATACTAAATTAAGGTGATACACATGCAGTGAAAATAATTTAAATTACTTTAAATCTCTAAAGGATTTTCCCTACATACTTGTCTTCAAGGTTTAGGGTTTGTTTTTTTTAAAAAAACATTTATTGGCTGAAAACAGTCACTTGGGAAAAACAATATTGCTCAGAAACTCAAGGAAGTTGGATTTACCAAATGCATTGGAAGTACCGTAATAAACCCAGCATAACAACCACAGCAGCTCTCACTGCAGGGCCACGGCTGACAGGACCACAGGCACCAGTGAAAGGCCAACTGACTTCAGCAGCAACATTTTTTCATTTAAAAGTCATTTGCTTTCAAAGAAACTTTACTTGGCATTCAACAGAAACTTCTAAAAGCAATTTCCATCAAGTGTTTTATTCAATTTCTAACAATGACTTATCTCTAACAATTTCAAAAATGAAATATGCACAAAAAATATGATGCTGTTTAGGCTAATTCTTTAGTCTTACTGTCAAAATAGCTTGTGTCATCCTCAGATTCCAACTGTGGGATGAATTCAGCTTTCTGCCGAAGTAATCCATTCCAGTCCAAATCTTTAAAGAACCGATGCTGCTTCACTTCAAAGGCACTACCTGAAATAATCATCTTTTATTGCAGAGTATTTCTTTTAGCATTTGCATAACAAGAGAAACAAACCCTGAAAATATCAAGAGCCTAAAAGAATGCACTTGAGTACATTTAAGTCACACATTTGCCAAGAACTTTGAGAAACAACTTATCCTTTTATCAAAGTGGTGATGCAGGATAAAATCTGAACAAGATCTCCTCCTTCCCACTCTTCTTTCTGTTTTAATGACAACACATGACCGAACTGGCTGGAAGGCAGTATCTGCTGTTACATTCCACAGCAAGTTGCAAGATTAAGAACTAATTAACATCTTAATTTAAAATTTCCAAACTCTAAATACCATCTTGTTCATAGCTGAATAAAAGGAGCAAACTCAGAAAGGTACTTAGCATGTAAGTGACTCTACTGTCATGAATAAACTCATTCATGTGCTTAAAACAAGGCAGGGGCTTACATATCTTCCTGAATTAGTATCTTTTGTTATTAACTTCAGAAGCTTGGATACCCAGAAGAAAAAACTAGGGATTATCTGTCTACTATATATGCTTTTTTTTCCCAAATAAAATTAATATTCATAAAAGATGCTACTGTCTTTTTAAAAAAGGGAATAGAGAAGGAAAAGAGATAAAAGGTTTGCTGAGTGCCAGTGGCACTACAAGATGCCAAGTGGAACAGCAGTCTCATCATTGCAGGTATATAAGAAATCAAAAAAAAAAAAAAATCAGTCCATCAACTCATAAGGCAAGAAACTCTACATCTTTTCCATGACAGCAACATCTTTCAAGTACATGGATTTGAAGTAAAGAACATGTGAAAACCATCTGATATCATTATTAATTCATGATCTATCCATCACCCTTGTGTGCACATGTGTTAAGTCTGCTGAATACATGTGCCTTTTGGAATTGCTATATAAAAATTTTTATTTTGTCCTTAAAGTGTAGTTTCCAATTAAAAAATCTAAAATTAAATCAAACCAATCAAATCAATGAAACAGACAACCCGTGCTGTGAAGCTGCAGTGTTGCACAAATTATTTTAAAACAAGAGTGTAGCTAGAGATTATTTATGGTTATTTACTATCAGGAAATGAGAAGTGATGGCTTGTAAACCTTTAAATCTGACATTATAATACAGAAAGATTGACATACATGTCTGACTTTGCCAAAGAGATTATCATACTTTGTTGTATGTTTGGAGAATTCTACAGTGCAGGCCTCTATGAATGGCAAAGTTTTCATTTATTTTATTACACTCAGGAGTTCATATCCATGTAGGGGATTAAGCCCCCAGTCGAAGAAAACTTCAAAGAAACCTGATTATACAGTGTTCAAATGAAGAAACAACCCTCAAGCCTTTAACAGAGCAGCATGAATTTGAGAAGTTATGTTGCCAAACTGACAGTACCCCTTCCTTGTTTCCCAAACAAGACAGTATTATCTGACTCACGTACAGCCTACATTAATTCTCAGAGCTTCACCACATAAGATTCACTAAACCCAGTATAAACTGTTTCCCAGTTCTAGCTGAGCATTCTTCAACACAGTGGGTGTGCATCACTGGCAAAATAGCATCTTTTCCTGCTTCTGGCTAGTATTTTCCTATGGACAAGGTTCCTACCTGTTCCCATTCTTTCCAGAGGATTTTGGCGGAGAAGCTTAGAAATGAGGTCCTGGGCATCTGGGGGAAGTGCATCATCACCTTCTGGCCAGGCAATTTCATCTGGGGATACAAAAAAGACTTGACATTTTATACCAGTTTCACGATCAATTTGAATAACCATTCACATTCCTATACCGTAAAATACAGTGTTCAGTACTGCCCCAGAACTGTAAATACCTCGAATTCAGCAGCTTGCATATTTAATATAATTCAAGCATTGACATTTTCCAAAATGCATAAAATTCAGTGTCAGCTAAAGCTGCTGTCAATCCAAGCAGTGCTTGTGGAGAAAAAAAGCATTAAGAACTCTATTAATAAAGTATGAAATGGGACTTCCATGACAATCCATAAACAATGACACCGACAATACTGCAGCTGTATCTTGTGCCCACACATACCATGCTTGTTATACTTGGAATGGAGAGAATAGTTCACAGGTAACAATTTCATGCATCATATTTAGTTCTTTGCTGAAATTTTCTTTTTACAAAAGACATTTGCCAAGTGTGTTAAAAATTTACTGTTTCAGAAAGCATTCCCAATAGGAAATATTTTCACTGGCATATTCACTGAGGAAACACAAAGCAATCATTCGTCCAACTCCAAGCAGGAGATAGGTTTAAAAAGCCACAAGACGTGATGGTACCGAGTACAACAGCTTCAATGTGTTTTGCTTAGGATTTCCTTTTCATTTAATTTATACGACAATTACTAATTGACTGACATATGCACCTACAGAAGCAATAACCAAAATCAGACTGAATCAGACCAGTTGGCAGTTGCTCCTTTCATATTCTTCAGCATTTAAGCTAACAGACAGAACAGAAAAATCCCCCAATATTTTTCCCCAATTCCAGAAGGATATGCATGACTTCCATGCCATGCACAACACAACTATCTACCAAGATGTTAAGCAACTCAACAGATGTTAAGCTGGAATCAGATAGATGCTACTTAGACACAAGAAAATTAATACTTTAAAATTAAACCGCATTATTTTATAGCTAGTCCTTCCTGACCAAGCTGTGGCTCCTTCGTATTTTCAAGGTTTTACTTCACAACACTTTGAAACCCCTTTCAGAGCTAGAACAGAAACATACCACTGATCACTTGTCCAAACAGCTCTTCAGGTGTGTCCCCAAAGAAAGGAACACAGCCAACTAGGAACTCGTACAGGATAACTCCCATGGCCCACCAGTCCACGGGCTTCCCATAGCCCTGGCGCAGGATCACTTCTGGTGCAATGTATTCCGGAGTCCCACAGACCTCAAGAGAAACACAGAAGAAAGCAATAAACCTACAAATTGCCAAAGTCACATCAAAGCTTATTTTGTCTTGTGTTTTTTTTTTTTTTTTTCTTTCCCCCGTAAGAGCTTTACAAGGAAGGTATTAATATTTTGCCACTAACTGCTTTATGCTGTGAACTACTTGCATGCAGCAAGAGTCTATATTTGAGGAACACATACCTGCACAAAAATTGTATCACATACTATGAAATGTTCCTAGTGTGAACATGCCAGCTAAGTAGCTCTTCGGTGCACATATAGTAAACCATATGGGAAAAAGATGCATATTCTGTGTGTATAGGTCTGTCTGCTTGATGGATGTCTACTGGCACAGCTACAACTATCAGGAACTGAGTTTTGACAAACCTCTCATATCTCTGTGCTAGCAGAATTTAGTTTCACAGATGCAGAATTAGCAGCACAGCATGATTACACACTTCAGCATTTAAACTTGGGAGGTACAGCTGGCACAGACAATGGCTAAGGAAATTACGTTAGAAGATCCAAGTTGCCTCAGGCTTAGAAGTATCAACAATAACAAAATAGTTGTAAAAAAGGTAACACTGCAAAGTACAAGACCATGATCTGGTGACCAAAGAGGGTTCCTGATAGAAAAAACATTGTTACTCAGAAGCAAAGGAAGACAATACCACAGGATGATTATGAATTAACACTTGGCACAACTAAAAAAGAAACTTCAGCTGTGATCCTAGGTATTTGCAGAGAAGTATTTTTTAATCCCATTATACAAGGCACTGGTGAGCATGCATCCACAACAGTATAGTTTTTGTTAACTATGCCTAGGAAATACCAGCTCAAGCTGAAAGAGGTGCATGGAAGAGCTATTCATTCATCAAAAGAAAAACCTATCTTGTTATCTAGAAGAATTTAGCTGGTTAAGCCTAGCAAAATGAAGGCTAAGGAGAAAAGTGACCCTTAGTAAATATCACAGGGATAAAAATCAATGTTTAAGCCATCAGAGAAAATTACAAGAAGAAACATATAGGAACTTGCCATAAACTTTCTAAGCACCAGAAGGGGGAGACCGTAGAGCAACCTTCCAGCAAAATCCACGTTACATCCCTAAACCAACCTCTGCTCGTACCTGCATTGCTGCCTGGGCCACACTTACAATACCCTAAACTAAGAGCTGAAGTGCATTACTCGAAAGCAATAAGTTGAAATAACAAGCAATACCAGTTTATGTACAAACGTAAGAATGGACTTGTATCTTGTCCTCCCATTCTATAACACATAGCACAGTGTTGAGGCAGAAAGGGAGTGCTACAAACTCCAATTCTATCCAGAGACAGAATCCTGCATCTGATCCCACATCAATAGACAAAATTTTTCAGCTTACCTGCTTGTCTAGGAATTCCCTAGTATCCTTCTCAATGTGTCCCTCATAAAGATTAGTTGTAAGACTCATTAATCCAATTTTAGACAGTCCAAAGTCTGTAAGTTTAATGTGACCCATGGAAGTTATCAGGAGACTAGGAGAAAGAAGCAAAATAATCCAACATGCAATTAGTTGTTTCCCAAAAGCAATTTAAAAAGAGAAGAACACAAGATAATGCTAAGCAAGTTCTTAGTGTTACATCCTCATCAAACACTTGGAAGGAAACTCCTATGCAACTGAATATCACAGAGCAGCCAAGGCAACCAGAAATCAGACTACCTTCTGCCATAATTTCATCAGTGTAGCAACAGCTTTGAGATAATATCTGGAGATGTTCTTCCCACCCTTTCTCATTGTCTATCTGGTTCTATATGAGTAGCAAGAGACTCCATAAAACCTCCTACATGTCAGATGCCACTGAAGATCTCCACTGTCTCTAGCCCCCATGTCCTCTTGCCTATGGAGAAAGTTGCTGAAGAACTGGCTCTCTCCCTCAAACTTCTGAAGAGCTAAAGACTTACTTATCAGGTTTTAGGTCACGGTGAACAATCCCATAATTGTGTAGGTACTCCAATGCCAGAACAGTCTCGGCAAAATACATCCTTGCCATATCAACAGGTAGGGCCCCAATGTTCTTGAGAAGTGTAGCACAATCGCCTCCTAGAAAAACATCACAGCGAAATTGCAAGTATCAGTAAGAAAGAACAGCTATGGGTCTACAATAATAGATTACATTTCCTAAAGGCTTCTCTCTCAACCCTGTTAGCCTGAATTTTGAAGCGCTCTCTACACTCCATCTGGAGCTTCAAATAAATATTAACATCTTAAGAAAGCTGAGATCCATATATGTTGGGTATGCTTGCTCAAGAACTGTACAGATGCCATTTCCAAACCATAAGCAAGCCTTGAAGAAAGGGCAGTTCATGACTGTTTGGCCTCTCTATAAATTTCTTTGCTTTCCACCACAGAGACACATACTACTTCCGATATACAAGCTTCTTAAAATAGTAAGTAAACATCTCTGCAACTACTAACAGTCTCTCTCTACACTTAGAGAGACAGCCATGCCTCTGGACACAGTGGTAGCCATGCAGATAAGTCTGTGGGACCCTGATTCAAGCTTCTTAAGGAACCTTGGCCACATGTTTCATTTGACCTTCATCTCTACTTGCAAACAGGAATTAATATTAAAATTTGTTATGTCAATACATCTGGTTTTATTCTACTAATTTATCTGAAAGAGCACTGATAGAAGAACTATAAGCTTATTTCTCATAAACACTCAACCAACCAAGCCAGGCATAAGAAATTAATCCTATTCACCAGTGGAAACATATTGCTTATAATAAAATACAGCGATAAAATAAAATCAAATAATATTGCAAAGGATAAGCAGAACAAAAAACTACACCAGCATAAAACAGCACTATATTTAAAAAAAAAAAAGTTGCTGAAGAGCAAAGAGTGTATTGCTTCGTGATGCTTCTTAACTGTCTTTTTCTAACTGTAATGCCAAGTAAACATGCTATGGATCTAGCCATGCCATCCCACAGGAGAGTGGGAGGATTTCTTTCTTGTGAGGACTGGAAAGTTCATGCTGACTTCTGACCCCAGCAGTTTTCTCCATGTGGCTTTACGTTTCCTCAGCTCCACTGCAATTATGTTGTATTACTCACAGGGATTCACACAGTATCTCCTTATGCTAAACTATACTGGTGGTAGAATGACTCATTTCTCCAGCTCAGCCCAAACAGTCCATACAATCCTCCCTAAAAGGGCATCAGGAGCTCCCCTGCGACTGCAGGGCTGACGGGACTCGCATTCTGTGAAGAAACGACTAGCACACACAAGAGATGGTCTTCCCACTTACTGCGTTCAGAACAGCGCACTGATCAGCCTTACACCCCAAAGTACACATCCTCCAAATCCCTTGAAAATGTCATTCTTTACGAGGAGAGACACTGCATACACACTACATATCCATCCCACCTCGGGTCCCTTTGCAGGTGTAATGACAACCATACCTTCCACATACTCCATAACCATGCACAGGTGACGCTTGGTCTCAAAGGAGCAGAACATGCTGACCACAAAGGGGTTCTCAGCAAACGTCAAGATATCTCTCTCCACAAAAGCCTGCTGGATCTGATTTCTCAAAATGAGGTTCTGTTTGTTGATCTTCTTCATGGCAAAACGTTGACGAGTGGTCTTATGTCGCACCAAATACACCGCTCTAGGAAACCACATACCAAGAGGAAAAGTTCCATTTTCAGTTCAAACTGTTTTGTTGTTTGGCTTTTTTTAAAACAGTGATGGTGACTGTTTTGGATGGATCCTGACAGACTTATCTGTGACTCCATAAAATCCCATCTCAGTGGCAAGCTCCCCTAGAGAAGAAGGAACCCTATAATGCTTCCTTCCAAAAGCTACTCTGCCTTCTTGAATTAAGCAGCAGTTTCACTGATGTGACTAACAAGGAGATATTTCATACACAAATGTCACAGGCTTCCTTAAGCATCATTGCAGAGGCATGCATTTTTCAACACTACAGTCACCATTTCACTTAAAAAAAACTGTTTAAAACATATGGAATCAGCACAATTTCTTTCCAAGCGCCATAAAATTAATTTGATGCAATATTGTCACTGGGGATTTCCTCCAGTAAAGTATCTCTTACATTTCTATCACTTGCAGATCATTAGATTCCTGGACACTAATAATACGGTTTGCAAATAAAATTTTCAAGTAGTTTGCCTGCCTTATTGAATCACTACTTGTTTCCTTTTCTCTGGAGTATATTACATTTAACATTGGTATTGGGTCTCACCAGCAGCTGACTATAAAATACACCCCGTATAAAGACAAATATGAGTAACAGCAAAACTACCACCGCCCTCTCCCCTTTTTACGGAGTTACATTTAAATCATGGGGCCTGTGCAGAAATATGGCTGAAAATGTGTAAAAACTTCTTGTGTAACAATGTGCCTCTTATACCTGCTCTGTTTTGTCTCCACTGACTAAAAAATATGCTTACGTTTTTTCCACATATAATTTTTAGAAAAAATGAGTTGCTGTTAGCAAAGCATCCACTTCAACAAAACACTCAAGCACATGCTCAGGTTTTGGAGTTATAACCTACTGAATATCACTGCTTTTCAGTTACAACCTAATGACTATCACTGGTAAGGATTTATGAACTGCAAAGATCCAGGAACTGTCTTTAAAATTGTGGATAGGTTTGTATGAGAGTTTAAAATTTGAATTGACCAACTTAATTCTGGATGTTTCATTGGGTAATAAAAATCTAATAGTATTTTTACTTTATTACTTCTCACGGTAGATTTGCCCCAGTGTAAGTTTAGCATTTCTGTTAGTATTTCAAGTGCTCGCAAACAGCCACATATGTTACATATATAATCTGAATACATGGCAGAACAGAAAAGCATAAACTACTTCTCCCTCAATATTCTTGCTATTTCAGTGAATCATCAGCAACATTTGCAACAACAGAAATTTACTCTCACTCAGCCTTTAAACAAACAAATCACAGGACTTAACCGGACAACATGAAAGGAAATACACACTGCCTTGCTAAGCAATAAGGAAATGGGTGCAAAATAATTTTCTCAGACTCATGGAACTAAATTTTTTACTAATACTTACGAAATCTCAAAATAAACTAAATGACAATATTTTCCCTAGAGACAATGTTTAGGGAAAACGTTTTTGCCATCTCAAGCTAAGGTACTGAAGTGTCTATATTTTACCTACCTACCATAAAGAACCAGTGCAGAAATAGTTACTGGAAACACAGGCTTGAGTTCACAGTTAGGCAAGGCTTCAGAAAGCGTGTGCCACAGAGGGATTAGAAATACCATATTCTGAAAGCTTTAATGTAGGGCAACTAATTTTCCTGAGCTGGAAGCTGTGAGTCAAGTTCAGCACAATGAAAGGACTTCACAGCCAGGAACTGTGTCCAGGTACAGCGGCTATTGTCTAAGAAACACAGAGAACATGCAAAGAATAGTATTTCCCAGAAGATATCACAAGTGTGGAACTTCTGCAACACTCTTCTGCAACACCCAAGCAAAATTCATTTACAGTTTGGACCCAACAAAAAGCAGTCATTCACCAAACCTCCCCTGGGTAGGACAATAATAATATTTTCTTCTAAAGCAGTCTAAAAGTCTTACCCATAGGCACCATTACTGATTAGTTTAATAGTTTCAAACTCTTCTTCAGATGGAGTTTTCTTTGACTGGACAGAGGCCCCACGGCTCTGGGGAAAGAAGACAAGAAAATGGAAATCAGTAGCAGGAATGACTTAATTCTATACGTCACTTTTTTGTCCTTTTCTTCTTTAAGCAGCATTCACTTAAACCTAATCCTTTTCCAAACCTCTGGAGTCCTCAGCATTAGGATAATTGTCTGTATCCCTAGGATCTTTCAGACTCCCTCCACAAATATTAGCACAAAGAGTCAGTCAACTGTAAGATTCAGGCATTTCCTCAACATCACATTTTTAAAAAACCAATAAACTACTTCAAAACCTAGTGAGTTACATAATTTAATTTTTCCAGTGGTCTGTTACTGAAGTCAACTCTCTTCAATACCCATCACATTTTATAAATGCAGATATAAAGAATTCATCCAGATTTTTTTTGTTTGCAAGTCTAAAAAAAAAAAACAACCCAACTTGATGATAATGTCTGTTTGCAACTTTTAAGCATTTTACCACAATATAGAGATATCGACATTTTTATGAGTATACTCTAGTTTTAACACACACTTTTAAATGTCAGCACTTTTTTTTTTTTTAAATTAAAATTACTCTGCATTATAATTAATTCTTTACTGTAGACTACTTCTTTCCAGGGGAAAAAAAAAGCGCTAGACAGAGTGACTGTATTACTGCTGTACCTCTACTGAATCATCTGTCTCAGGAGTGTCTGGGCTGTCATAGCTATTCAGCTGGGCCATTTCTGAAAAGAAAGAGGAAAGATTACTCCTAATGATCTCAATCAAACACTGTTCTCTTTGTTTATACACGACAAACAGGTTTTTAAGAGGTGCTTGTAGATGATGAGGGACATTTTTCCCCTCTGTAAAAAGTCACCCCAATTATACAGTGATAACCTTTAGCATCTTGTAAACTATGGGAAGTATTTTATATAAAGATGAATATAATTAATTGTTCTAATTTCAGCCTGACATTCTAGATTGTTTCTATAATAAGCAAAAGAAATAAATGCATGTTTGGGGAAACTGCCATCTAGTTAATATTAAAACATAATCCATGCATATATGTCTGCATATAGCCTTCTGGCACCTCTGTACCCAAAAAAGAAAAACCATTATACTTCAAACAACCTCCCTTCATGAAATGTCTCTTATTCTGCAAAATGCTGCAGCAGCAAACTGGGAGAAAGTCAGTTAGTTTAGGCTACTCAGCTGTCTTTAGGAGATGCTATAAACTTTGCAAACCCAAATCCTACATTAACTACTAGTCTCTGAACAGATATCATTGACATTTCTGGGTGCCCTCCTTACAGAAAGGAAATAAGGCACCTTGACATCTCCACACATTTCTAAAGAAAATTTGACTTTAGTAAGGGGAATTAGTGATGGAAAGGTTCTCTCCCATGACAGGGATCAAAGGAAATTTCCCTTTAATGTCAGATTTCAACAAATGCTATTAAATTACATTTAGCAATCTTTGGTAGAAATTTCCTGAAGAGCTCTTCACTTGAAGTCAACCTGTCACTGTCATTCCAGTAAACACCACAGAAATTAAACTAGTCCTATCCAGACCACTAATTTATGCTAAAATTATGCTCTCCTGAGAAAACAAAAAGTATGGTTCAATCACTGAAATATTCCCAGTAACCTCCAGTCTCTGTCACACTTTCTATTGTTGCTGAGCAAGCCGTGCACGCTCATAAAGCTTGTCATAGGAGAAGAGATTCAGTGAGCAAAGTGTTAGGCAGAAATATTAACTCCCAAATTTCAAAGTCAGGAACTTCTGGGCCTCTGTACGTTTACAGCATATTCAATTTACCATCTGCAATTCTGGCACCCAGCAGAAAAGCTGTTACGGTCTTCTAAAGCATTACTCTCTTTGGTTTCACTAGTATGCAAGATGTATAAATACAATCTCATCTCCACCTAAAAGTTCATACTAGTCCTGGTTTCTCATGGAAAAATCACAACAAATACACTCTTCCCAGAGAGGACAAAGTGGGATGACAAGATACTTGCCAACCAGGCCACCAGAAGGCACGCAGACCAGAAAAATAATGGGTAAATTTACTTTTACTGTCCAACAGCACAGAGAAAACAGTTAAATCATGAAGCCATTTTCTAACATTGTTTCAGCCATAATACAGGGAGACATTATTAACATCATAAGTAAAGAACTGTCACTGCTGATGTGCGATCCTTACTCCAGCAACATTCCTTTGAGACACGGGGATGGAAAGGACAGTCTAGAATTTGACAGCAAACAGGAAAACAAGGAAAAATGGCCTAGAAATTAAACCAATAAAATAAAAGCCTCCTTCAGCTGTGTAGTGATCATGAGATCTGGTTATTCTCTCAGCAGTTTGGAAAGTACAAACAAGAGTTCTCACCCTCCAGGGGATCCCTGGTGAGTCCCAGCTGGCTGATAATGTAACGAGGAATGTCACATTTAATTCCTTGCCCTTCCTTGGCATGGCCTTCTGCAGCTTCTAACAAATGGTAGAACTCTTCAGGATCAAACTCCTACAGCAAGGTGGTGAGAGAGACAGAGAGAGGTAAATGACGCAGCTTTACAATTACGGAAGTTTCCTCCTCCATATAGGAGATTTCTCAGAAACATCAGAAACTAAGCAGTGATGCAAAACATCTGCAGTTACAAGCAGCAAGTCAATGCATTCCACTCTGCTCTGCAAAAATGACAGACATTTACAGCCTGATGGATGTCCACTGGCTTAGATCTGCAAATCAAAATAGGACAAGGACCGTAGGGACTTTTTATGAACCAAAACCAGACTACTGGAAAATATAGTCATTATAATGCAAGCATTAATCTGGACTCAGGTCCCAGCTTTGTCACACTGAGACGTGCCAGGGAAAGGTCTGCAATGAAGACTGAGGTGCCGCCTTCTGCCACCTCTGTCTCACAGGAGAGTTAAGCCAATATAAACCTCCCCTGCTTTCAAATGTCACTTCTGATCAAACCATACACCCATTCAACTCTGTAACTGTCACAACCTTAGCAACTGCTAATAAAATTATTAATTAAAACAGCAACTGCTATTTTATCAGCAGAGAAGACTTCACTTCCCAGATAAGAAATACTGCTGCAGTATTTCTTATACTATACAGTACAGGATCATCTTATCAACTCAGTCTTAGTGTATGAGACAAAATAAGGTGTGATCTCTTTTACTACACTAACAGATATAGTTGGAAATAAAAGACAAGCTTTTGGAAGCAGGAACACTCTGCTTAGAATCAAGTTCACTAGTTAACTTTCATTCTCCCCTACAAACCTCATCATTCACCACCAGTTTTGCCAAGACTCTTCAAAAATTTTCTAGTGAAATGAGAGGATAAAAGGGAAAGAGTTACAGCATACAGCTGTAAGGGCATCAGAAGAGACCTGACGTGAGTATGGTCAGCAGCAAAAGAGAAGAGAGAGCACAGAACTGCAGACAAGCGAAATAAATTAGCGATTGTGATGATGTAAAGATATTTGAATGGTTAGAGAAACAGAAAAGACATGCTTTTTCTTGACTGCTCTAAGCAATGCTTCTTGGACACATACTGTCACCAGAGACAGCAACAATGCAAGAAACAAGGTTCCTTCCTAACTCCTCTGGAAAAGGATTAATCAACTGTTTCAGAATTGGCAGAGAGCAGGAGCCAGACCAGAGAGGACCAGAGGAGAGAGACGGTCAGACTGCAGCATAATACAGAGAACAAGGTGAAAGGGAAGGTGGAGTCAAGGAAGGAATCTTCAAGACACAACTGGAGGTCATTTACTGGTGAGTAAAGGACAAAAGAAAAAGAAGTCTGGCGACAAAAAATTCAAACACATAAAAAATTAAGAAATTAAATAAATTCTGGTTCTGCCTTGGTTTTAGTAGAATTATTTCATCATTTGAATACATAAGAATGATCCCTACTAAAGGGAGGCAGGTGTTATGGAAAAATAATCTGAAGAGAATTACATACTTTTTCCCAAAGATGGTTTCAGTGATGCACAAAAAACATTATTATTTTCTTGAAGCCCCAGAGACTCAGTCCGTAAATAAACATTTCACAGTCCAACAGGTAATTCAAAGACAGAAGCCAAATAAATGAAGTTTAAAATACTCAAATGCCTTCATCCCCATTAAAACAATCACAACCATCACAACCACTGCCTATATGGTCAGTTATTTCATTTACAAGGAAGAAATAAGAACTAGTTGTGTTACTAAAATTAACCTTAATATTAAATCTTAGAAAAACTGTTTATAAATTCAGACAGAATTGAAGCTAAAGGTCAAATTACAAAGAAAAGTGTGTTAAAAAATAAAAATTAAATGTAGTTCTCAAGCTATTCAAATCGTTGACTATCAATTACTATATTTCTTGTTCTTTTATGGGATAAAAGAAACAGTATTCAATTCTTCACGTCAGCAGAATAAAAAAAAATTGGAAAAGGAATAGCTACAAAGGCAATACAGGTTAAAAAAGCAGGGAAGACTAATACATAGATCCAAATATTATTTTTATACTTTGAAGTCTAGTCACTTCATTGTCAAGGTTGTCACTATGTGCTTTGGAGCTCATTACTCAAATCTCAATGACTTTACTGCTTCCACCTGCTCCCACTCATTCTGCAGAACATCAGGTGCAAAGAGAGTGGAAGAACCTGAAGACCTACTGATTTTCAGCTAAAAACTGGCCTGAGTTTGGAACTGCTTGCAGGTATAGAGATGGGTTCACAAAACTTACTGAGGTTTCATGTTTTCCCAGAGGATGTGTTAGTAGTAGAGCATACGCAAGCATAAATGACAATGGTGCATGCAGCAAACACAAACACAATAAGTTTAAATTTATTTCCTTTCTTCGTTGTTTTCACTAAAAAAAAATAATAAAAATTTAAAGAAGTGCTGGAAAATAACTGGAGCCACAAAACCCATCTAAATCACAAAAATGGTTTTGAAAGTCAAGGAATTCCCAGTCTGAATGGAGTTGGACCCAGGATTTTCAATGTAATCTAGTGGAGACTACTTGAAAAGTAAGTGTAGGCATCTACCATGCTGGTTATGCAGTCTACTTCTTCATCACTGACAGTGGTCTTTCTTGCACTATAGGGTTCACAGCAAAGCAATCCATCTGATGGTCAAGTGGGGGGAATAAGGGAACCCTCCAAAGTCGTCTACTTTTCAGTACTTCTGCAGGTGTTTTCAAAAACTGGTATCATCGGAAAGATTGGACCACTCTTGTCTACTTGTCAAAGAAAGCTCTTCAAAAACCTCATTTAGCTTCAAGTGATTCCAGTGATAAAAGTTGCCCATGGACACACTGCCCTCAACATGTTTCAAATGCTAACTGTACATCTATACCCAGCCACAGATTCCTAATTTAGCCAGCTTCTCTAATGTCTCAAACAGGTGTAGCTTCCCTGTCATTTTTATGCCCAGTAAGAACCATCAGATAGATTGCTTCAACACACCAGGGAATTTTATCTTGTCGTTTTCTAAGTTTCCACTATAGGTTTGTGACACCTTCTCCAGCACTCCCAACATTTTTTTGTGACTCTTCCCTACACTTTCACCAATTTTTCAACATCTTTTTGAAAACTGATTGCTATATCCGATAACCACAACACTGTACACCAGAGGCCTGATCACCTCTTTCCATATATATTCAAGGCTTTTATTAACCCTCCTGCCATAGCATCACGGTGAGAATGCATGTTCAGGCTGCTTCTCTACTGCACCTACAAAACATTTTTTGAGTTTCAGGACTTCAGGACACAGTGGCTTATTTCATTGGGATGGCCTAAACGCTTTTCACCATTTTCTAGAATTAAAGAAAAAAAATATACATTCTTGTTAGCTAGAGTAAGTGGTCAGAAAAAAGCAATGAGACTTGCTTTTCCGTGTATTCCATGAGCACCAAATAGAATTTCAAACTCAGGCTTCCAAATCTGCTTGGATCTCTCACTGGACTGTCCCTGTGTGTGTTCATAGCTGGAAAACCTGACACCAGGTTTCTCTGCAATTGCTGGGGCTATAGTAAGAGTTTCAGTCCAAGAGCCCAAACACCATTTCTATCATGGAAGTGAATTTCTTCCTTAGTGACAGTTCTTCCTTAGTACGGGTCTCTGGGAACCACACAAACACCATACATTTACAGGCTCTTTACTGTAGCTACTAACAATACAAGGAAAATCAGGTGGAATCAAGTAGCATGAAATTATGTCAACAGCTACATCTGGTCCCTCAGCCATAAACTTTATACTAAAATATAATTTAGCTGCTCTTGCAGCTGACAGTTCATTGGAAAGATATTTCTATATTAATGCAAAAGACACTTACTACTATTTTTTTAAAATATTGATTTATTTTTCATCAATATTTTAATGAGAATTTAAAGCTTTGTGTTCTTTATCTCCCCAAAACCACACCAGACTCTCTAGATCATACAGGCACTCTCCCAAGGACCAAACTTACCAGGCATTCAAGCAGCCGAGCTGGTCGTGCAATGATAATCATCAGCTTCTTCACAAGTTGGGTAACAAAGGCAACCTCGGAGCTCTCGGATCGCTCGTGGGCCTGTGGAGAACAGAACATCACATTATGGTCTTAGCATGAACTCTTCGTTTTTGTATGTCAGATGCTGAATGCAGAGCAATCACCAACTCAGTGACCATAATCTGGCAGCAAAAGCATGACTGAGTCCAGATAAGCAATGGTCTCAGCTCATTCAAGGATGCCAAGTTACATATAATTTTTCCATTACAACTGACTCCTTTCATCATGCAAGAGATATTTCAAAAAGGCTCTGTTTGCATTATATCACCTATCAATTATATGAGATAGAATGTGGGTTTATATTTTAAAATGAAGAGAGAAATACTGATTTTTACAATTTTTCTTTCCACACAATACTGCCTTCCTACGTAATTGCTAATAGACACAGGTATTTCCAGGCTTTACTTTCAGCTAGAATTTGAACCACTTCTACTCATCATCAAGAAAAACTAAATTTTATTTTATCTTTATTTAATTTTATAAATCCTACTGAGCAACTACTGCATTGTATTGTATGCTATGTAGGACCAAGCAGACAAGCAAAGCAAAGAGCATGCAGAAATTTAATTTGGAAAATTTACTCTTGTCCACTCACCAGATTTCAGTATAAATTTAAGGCATATGTGTATGTGAGGGGGTGTTGTCTTACAACAATAAACACACACAATAATTTAAAAAAAAAAAAACCAACAAACCAAACCCAAACAAAAAACACCCAAAGACATATTTGAACATCCCCCAAATTACTTTTCTTTTGCTCAAGCACATGATGGTTACATTGTGAGTCCTGAAGCACAAATAAAATAGTATTTAATTGCAGGGTGATAAAACATGGTTCCAATGACATGTAAAAACTCTGAAACAAAGTATAGCTATTTTTTCCCCAAGGTCTAAAAAAAAAAAAAAAAAGAAAGGCTTTAGCACAGCCACAAATATAAAGTCTAGAACTTAACCCATGAGCTTATGCTAGCAATGAGCCAGCTGATTATAGGAATGATATTTTATCAACAAGGATGCAAACAGCAATAAACGAAGAGGTTCATTTAGCATTGTTCATTAGCACCATCTAAAAGGAAGATATATATATGGGTGAGAAGTCAAATCACACTGCTGGTCACCTAAAAGAACAATAAAAGCACACGGAAGCAGAAATTCAGAACTAGAAATATACAGGCAGCATTTTAAATAATATATCCCTGATATTTTTTATCAAATAAAAAAATGTTAGAAGATCATTATTTCTCATTTTGACACAGGTGAGAATAAGAAATGTTGACTGTCTACTTCAGCACTGACAAGCTCAGGCTAGAATTTTAACACTGAAGAAAATGATGTACCTGCTAGTTCATTATATAAAAACCAGTATCTTAGCTAAAAAACAATATCAGAGATGCTTCCTGGCTATGGAGACTTAAAAATAAGATTTATTGTGAAAGCACTGAAATGAGTCACATTTTTTTTTTCTAAATAGAAGTATTTTTCTAATTATAAAATAGAAAATAATCAAAATGAAGATAATCAGTATTTACTGTGTTCTCTAATGCATTACGCAAACTTATAAGTTAAAATATGAATTGTAGAAAAAAATGAATGCTTTCACATTTGAAAAGCCATTCCAGATCACAAGGGGTTAGCTGTGTTGAAATGAATAATAAAACACCAACAACTTTGTATTATTTGAAATGACCCATGCAACTGAAAAGTCCTTTTGCCCCCCATATAAGTTATATTATGCAAAAATATAACATTATTTATATAATTCATCATTTTGCATCCATTTTTATCATTAAACATTCAAGTCCTTTTATTTTTTACATTTTTTCATCTATGGCAATTTAGTCAAAATAATTTTTAAATATAACTAATTTAATCAGGTGTCTGTTTCAAAAATGAAAAGCTAAACCACGACTGCCAAACACTACAGAAAAGCAAAAGGGAAAAAAAAAAAAAAAAAAAAAAAAAGGACAACTTGTAACAGCCACTCAGCCATCATCTCTGCACAGTGCTGCTCTTCCAAGATCCTCAGTAAAACTGCATCTTCTTGTTTCCGTCTCGCACAGGACAGCCCGAACATCCCTACAGACATCTTGTTTACAGTCTGTCCCAAGGACGGTATCTGGAAACCAGAAGGTTATATAGCCAAGCACTGCCTGCTGCTTCCATGGGCCTTGGTACGAGGCGTGCCATCTAATTAGCAGTTCCCAATGACGACACACTTGTCTGAAGGTTGCTGGTGGCATTTCAGGGTTTCCCCCCCCTCCCCGCCTCCCAAGGGGAGGAGGGAGAAGCTATAGTGGTTGTGGGTAGAGGCTGATGCCATTCCTACACACATTGCCAGTGACACGTGTACAGGAGGTAGCAACGGGTAATTTACAAACCGATTCCCTTATCTGAAAGACCCATCCGTCACTAACTGTAGCTACTGGGGCATGAAATTAAAATCACTGTCCTCCCCTGGGGATCAGCAGGACCAATAACTGGGATATGCAAGTCACAACGCTGTAATTGAGCTAATATACTGATGGAAACCAAAACAATAGACCTGCAATGCCAAGATCCAATAAATTTACACTCAGGCTTGTATTAAGAAAGCAATCCCAATCAGAACATCCATTTGCCAATGTGCGGCATCAGTCACCACAGTATAGTACTAATACCCTCCCCTGCTTCTTTTGTTCCATGCACAAAAACACCTGTAATCCTTCACCTTCCTCACCAGTTGGCTACACATACACAAAAACCATTAAACTACTTCTTGCTAGTTTTAACTCATCGATTCAGCCAGGCAGTAACTGACTATAATCTTTTTTTTCCCCAAACCGAACATTACTCATGTGAAGTTCATGTTTTCCAAAATAAAGAAAATCTCTTAAATTCATTCTTACCTCAGGATAATTTTAATGATGCAATAAGCAATAGGTCTTTCTAGCTAAAAGACAGTATTTCACGCTCCAAACAAGGGAAAATCTCATTTGCCATAACTAACGAGATTTATTGGTATTTTATTGCAAAAGCCAGGATCTAATAACTTTTAAAAGCCTTCTGATTTTGTGTATTTAAACAGCTCATTATTTACATATCCACTTACTCTGTTTTACTGACAATTTTTATAATATAAAATAGACTCAAACTGCAACATATTAAATCAAGTTTCCTTTCTATGATTTGAAATACTGTGTGAGTTTAGTTTGTTACCACACATCAGAATCAAAACCTTAAAAAAGAATTTCAAGAGAAACCATTCTTTCACAGTAAAACTGCATGAAAATCTGTGGGTATTCCTGCCACTTGCTGATCTCCTTATTCATCAATAAATCATCTTCCCAATCTTTCTATACGTCATAAAAATATACTGTAAAGCTATATATCCTTACTGCACAGTTGTATGGCAACTGCCCAAGTGGAAGAGCTTTTCTGATGACCTTCCAGTTCCTATTATTTACATAGTGCGTAACTCTGTGTTACCTTACAAGCTAAGCAAAGGTAAAGACCCTGCCCTCAAATTTGGAATAATCTAAACCTGACTTCAAACTTCTTCTGCTTCAGTTGTCCTCCAAGAGAAATATTATCACCAATTTCTATATATTTAGACTGAAATGTCCCAATTATTTCCTTCTAGAATGCAGTCTGAAGGGCAAAGCACAGACTGTCAAGTAGGACAAAACAAGTAGCTTTTAAATATAAAAGAAAAGCCAAGGAACTATGACAAGACAGAAAAAACGTATGGGAAAGATGTTGTCTTTAATTTCTTTGTCCTCTTCTTTCCCAGCCAGTTTTGCCTTCCTTGTCTCTCTAAGCTTTCCCTTTAATTCTCTAGCCCACCTTACTTCCTAAAGTAAATCAATTAAACTTAAGAGATGACCCTTCTCTCACCCCTGCTCTGCAGAAGATGTTAAAGAGAAAGAGGTCAAAGAAAGCCCTGAATGTCAATTCCTGAACAAGCCCAGAGATGACCATTGTATTTTCTCTAATAACAGTTCAACGTCATCTTTTCCTGTTCTTAGGAGCAGCAGTATAATGCATGTAGGATCAAGGGGAAAAGGACATTTCAGAAGTGTGTTCTGAGGATTTGTCCTGAGGCAGGGGAGACGAAAGGAAAAAGCAGATTTGTGTGACCCACACTTCTCTGAGATCCTGATTAACCTTTTCAGGGCAGAAGACAGGCCTGAAAGTGCAGACTGGAAGTGGCCAGACCCCATTTATTGCTCTTTTAATTCCTTGTATGAGAAATCATCATCCACACACAGAGGACAAAAGACTGGGAGTGGCAGAATTTCAAGCTCCAAGTATCTGCTACCAGAGGCAGTAAGACACAGTGTAGTCCCATGTCCCTTGAAATCTAAGTTATTTTGCTGAGCATGCGCACCCACTTTTACTGAAATCTTATCAACTTCAATACATCACCCGAAGAGGTCTGATTATTTCATAGCTGATGTGTACAAATGCCCTGCTTCCAGACTGGAGGTACAAGGTGAACCCACTGACAATTCTCACCCGTCTCCAGCCCTGTGGTGCCTGCCCCACGCAGGCTGCGCTGCCCATGTGCCTCCATCGCCAGGCCCCGCAGTAACGGCTGGTTGACGCTCCTCATCCTGCCCCGGAAGGCTACACTGATGCTTTCCAACTTCAGAAACATTTCCCCCTTTTTTAAAGGCTATGAATACTGCACAATTTCTTTGACTAGATGCAGTTTCTCCAGCCCTGGATGGTGGCATCAGTGGTCACACTCTTGTGCAGCATCCAAACAACACCACTTTTACCAGGAAATGCATTTTAAAAATATTAAATACATCCACAATGGTTACAGATATCCCATAGGGAGACAACCATACAGGCCCTCAAAAGATATTCCCTACCTCTCTTCATCTGTCAAAATTATATTTCTCATCCAGACAGAATGCCACAAAACCAAACATGAGTAATTTTTCTCCCATGCGTAACAACTACCAGGGAAATTGCAGCCACACTCATATAAATGGGGTAGACAATGATTTTAGCTGATACAAGGGAAAATTCTGCAGTTTTCACAAAACTTTCTAATAAAATAATTGTATACTAATATAGTATTTTTATTCATCTGCCATTTTCTAATGTCTGGAAAGAGTGGCAAAGTGGCACAAACTAGTGTAATTCATGTCAGTGGGTTGGTAAACTGATCAATGACATATAAACACATCTTCACCAAATAGATTAAAAATCATCACAGAATTTAATTCAGGTGTTCTGTTTCTAGGTGTCTCCATGATATTTGTTCTCTGAGACTGCAATCTTTATAAATCCTTTCAACTTGCTATCTCCTTAAATCAAAGCAGATCATTAGGAAGACATTCCCAAACACGGGCCTGGACCCAGAAACTGGTAATAGCAATGACTCTTCACAACAGTTATAGTAGAGATTCTAAGACTTTTTTTAAATTTAATATTATTTACTTTTTAAAGGAAAAGAGCAATTTTTAATGAGTAGCTGAAGCATACTGAACATGCATTAAAATTGTGCCCCCTTGTGTATTTTCATATGCTTTGAACAACACAAAACAGAAGTACTAAAAAACCTACAACTGGATGAAGTTCAGCTCAAGAAAATCTTGTATGAAAAATTTACAGCAACACTACAAACTATGGTGTTTTCACTCCTTGAAGGTACTATTGTAATTAATAAGTCATTCAGAGTCTTGAAGTACATGAAAGAAGTTCAGTAATTCCCTTCATCTGGATGAACCCAATTTTCATAAACGGTAAAGACTGCCTTTGACTTACTCATATGCATATTTAACTTTTGTACAAAGGAACTGCACAGGTGAAGTGATTTGCTCAAATTTGCCCATGGCAGATCAACAGCAGACTGGAGCAACTCAGATCTCCTGACGCTCCCACCTGCTGCCCTTCCCCTGGAATCCACATTGTTTCTCCTAAAATCAAAGCTCTGGCTTACTGTTTAAAGTTTCAATCAAAATAATATATTCTACTTTCCAGAAAGCACTTACATCCTGGAGAAGTTTCTCCAAGTTTTCCTGCAGCTCATAAAAGTACCGAGAAGTAATAAGACCTTCACGTGATTTATCTAGGCAATCTCTGGCCAGTTCAATAACTTGATGATGAATGAAACTTAGGACCCCATCTGCTAATTGCAGCACGTTCTCTGGAGCATTAGAGGCAATAAACTCAGCCAGCCGTTCTTCCATCTGTGCCGTGGCCTAAGAGTACAGAATAAACAGAAATTATTCTTAAATTTTACTATCCCAGAACTTAAACATAAACAAGTAGGGTACTAAAGTAACTTATTCTTAATTCCAAAATGCATGAGGCTTAGAAAAATATTCCAAAATACAGTAGCATTTTGCTGAGAATAAAAATAGCATACCATAGGCAAAAGTTATGTTCACGTGAGGCAACAACAAAAATGAATCGGAACACACTTTCTGAAAATGCTAATGACCATAAAAATATCCCGGTCCTGAGCCTGTATCCCTCCTTGGGTCTCCAGAGTAAGGATGTAAGATACGAAGCAGTTTTCAAAACTTTTAGGCAAGACCATGGAACCTGAAAATCATCGCCCCAAGCAATAGATACATGGCATTTCTATCACTATGAGCACTGATATCCTGTCTCCAGAGAAACACCTATTTTTGCTATTGGTGGAAGAGGAAGGAACGGCCATATCAACAGCCTTGGGATACACAATCTTATACACTAACACTAATAAGATGTTAACTTCCACAGCTTGCTTCCACAGATTTTAATATTCATTTTTTTATTAAATAAACCCCAACACACATGTCTTCACTGCAGATCACTTTAGCACATTTCACTGTGACTAAATTCAGATTGACTTTTCTAAAAATCTGAATCTATCTTCATTGATTCTCTGGTAACAAAAGCCCCAGTGGCAAACTTGATTTTGCCAAGACCTCCAGTATCATTTGGAATAACATTAAAAGAAAACTTTGTGTTACTAATATCTAAGTGGAAAGCCTACCAAAACCAAAGAAATTTGGATCAGTATAAAGCAAATTTAATGCATTTATACAAGGGAATAATGAGAGAATGTTATTCAACATGTTTTGAAATTACTCTAAAATAGCTTTTAAAAGTATACATGAAACTAAGCAAAACATCCTGGTCTTCCAGTCTTGATCTGATTCAAAATTTTAAGAAAAAAAGACAAGGATTAGTTAGAAATATATGGAAACACTGGCCTCAAACAGCAGGAATGGACTGAGCAGCCAGAACATGGCCTCTTTCCTGCAAGCATTTGTTATGCCAATAAAAAACATGAGAAATGTAATAAATCTGATGCACATGCACAAATACCTAAAAACTTTTCTATTGCTTCTACTGCAGAATTGCAGAACATGTGAAGCAGAGGAGGCAGCTTCAAACTCTCATCAAGCTGCACTGCTTGGAAATCAGAGGTAAGAGCCGGGCTCCTTTCTCCAATGAGCACAACAAATTCATTCCGAGCTTGGTCACAAGTTCAATGAATGCATTATTCAAAAATGTGATTCCTTACCTTTGGAAACCTTTCTTTGTACACATGATTCATCATTATTATTTCACTGTCAAAGGAAATTGGGGAGCGACCCGGACTAGAGGAGAAAAGAAAGTACATTATCATTCACAGATATCGCATCAAACCCCTCCAAAATCCAGTGCTGGTCATAATGCTGCCATGCTGACTGTAGCCATTCCAAAGGTTTGACTTCCCTTGAGTAATGGGCATGTGCTTAACTTCAGAGAAAATCCTAGCGAGCACTGGCAATCCACAGCCTTCACAGTTAACTCATCTGAAAACTGCTAACATTGCTGTCTTGACGGGCAGGAACCCACCTGTTTTCAGTGAACGCAAGGCCTAATATACAAGCACGTAAAAAAAATGAGTGCATTTGTTGCAGTTACATCTGTTACTTCCCTCGTTCTCTTACTGCCCTCCAAGGTAGTGGTCGCAGCCCTGCTTAGGAAGAAATAGCTATTATCTCTGGAATCTCTAGTGCTGGAAGGGAGCAGAGTAAAATGAAACAAGGAATATCAAGCTACAGGAGGGATGCATGAGCAGCGTTATTCATCTAAACCTTAAAAATATAAATACCACAAGCAATAGAAACAGAATACTTTTATAAAAAAAAACACCTGCATTGCCTTGAGGCATATTACACCATGGATGCATATGCGTGTACGCATAGGTTAGCAAGCAATTTCAAGGCACACCAGAAAACAGGACACTAAATCTTGACAAACTGCATTTATATTACTGTTTGGGTATTTTTTTTTAAAGAAGAGTTGCATCTCATTTCATCACATCTGATGGTATGCAATGCTCTGACTCATTCTGCCACTGAGGACAGCCCGAGTGAGGTAATGCAGATAGTCCCCAGCTACAGGACTGCCTACAGCAGCTAATTTCTCTGGTTACCTTGTTTTAATGTTCAAGACAAGCAAGGTCTTCAATTATTTGGCTTCTTACATGATCACTGTCTTTATGGTTTTCAGAGTACTATATACTGCTAAAAATATTTTCTCTATGTCAAAAACCACAATTTGATCTTGAATGAGTTCAAACACTTTAAACTTTCTTGTGAAGTATGAAATGAATCTCTCTAAATGGAATAAATGCATTTTAAACTTGGAATGTATCACAGTTACTACCTTGCTGCTAACCTATTTATAGAAAAAACATTCTTTTGGGAACACATATTTACAATTCAAAGAAAATTTAACTCACTGGCTCATAGAATATAGCCATACCAATCTCTTTTCATGCCTGGTGCTGGAATTCCATGAATTACATTGAGTCTTGTTTTTATTAAGGTTTATCCCTCAGCTTTGGAAAATGCACTTCTGATTAAATCTCTCCCTGAATTTTTATATTAAAGGAGAAAAACTGATTTGGATGTTTTGGATGCCAAGTAAAAACATAATTTCATCAACTTTTTTGGAAGGAAATACAACCCTTAACTTGATAGCTACTTTTATTCAAGGAAATTTTTCTTTAAAAATAAACTTATGTTTATATATTTATATATAATGTATGAGATCATAAAAAGAAGGGTAAGAACATTTAAATGCCAGACTTAGAAGCAAATTCCCACACATCTATCCCGCTATCTTTATCCTTTTTTTCTAAGACCAAACAATTCGACACAAATACATGATACTTGTTTACTAACTTCATATGGAGCTGAAGAAGTTTATGAACATAGTTATTGAACAATTTATTTTTTTATAACGTATTATTTCTCTGTGTGATTTAAGTAAGGTATAAATTACAAGGATGTATAAAGTCTTTTGATACTAACTACAGAAATATGGAGGCACATACTTCATTTTAACACTAAAGTAGTTCTTCTAAAATTTGTATATGCTTAAGTATTTGCTGTCTCAGGGCTACAATAAAACATGAGGGTTTTTTTCCTTCACTTTCAAGACACTTTATTCTTATGGATACAGGAAATTAAGAGCTATGAAGAAATCACACTACTTGAGCTGTCCTGCCAGCAGATGTAGTGTTTCCTTCAGGAAAGCCACAATGATATGGGAGTTTATTGGGTTTGGTTTTGTTTTTTACAGTCCTGGAAAAAAAAAAATATTCTATGCATAAGCATCTACTGATTGGAAAAAAGTAAACATTATAATCCCTTAACTTCCTTGGGCATTGGCAGTTTTGTCAGCTGTCTTTGGAAACTGATAAACATCACTTTTTACCACCTAAAACAAAAGAGGATCCAAACAACTCCAGATAAAACCTGAGATCAAGGTTCAAATTGTCATTCTAAATATAAATTGACTGACATAACAGGTCAAATTAAATGTCTAGCTGACTATAGCAAGAATGCAACATAATATACTGCATCATAATTTTTTATGTTGATCCTTAGTCTAGGAAACGACAGAAATAATTAAATGGATAACTGACTAATCAAAGACTAGATGCCAGGCACTGCTGGTTACTTTATAGCACCTTTGAGACACAATCAGGTGAAAGAGAAACCGGGACTGGGCAGATAACTGAATGCCACCAAGGGAGAACGTAAGAAAATTTAGAAGATGGAAAAAAGGAATTTAATACTTTGTATTGCCATAGCAGCTTTTCAGTTGCAAAAGCTTCACACATCCATCTAGCACCAAAAATTTCACATACAGAACTAAACCAGCCTAACATTTCAAGCCTCACAAAGGAACAGATTATTTTCTGTAAAACAGAGGACACATACTGTGCACGTGCATAACATCTAAACACAAAAAGTATCTCTTTTCTTGGTGTAGATAGGTAGGTCAAAGAAATTATTATTGTGAGTTTTTCATTTCAGTAGAGCAGACATTAGAAGAATAATATCTGTCCCCTTAAGCTTAACAGCAGAATGAAAAACTACTCTCTCTTTTTCCCTTCTTCACTCTCCCTCCACTTTATGAAATGATGTGATGGTAGACTTCCAGTGACATCTATCTCCCGCAAAGGTTTCTAGACTTCAGCTTGCCAAAACTCGTGTGTCTTTATCTGATGCTAGAAAATGAAAATAGCTTATAGACAGTTATTTCAAGGAGTGGCATTTATAGTAATAACTTAATCTTACAAAATCTAGTTTAATTGTGACCAAATAAAACTATGTTTATGAATACCTGATTTTTCCTTTACTGTGACAGTTGTATTTATTAGAAAAAAAACAGAGACGCTAAAGGCACTGTACTCCCCTCTGCTTTTACCCTGTACATACTGATTTAATTAGGATGCATTTACATCATATTTCCAAAGTCAATGTCCATAGTAAAATTAAAACCATAGGCCTTAATTTTCTGTCATTTTCAGACACACAAAGTAAGGCATTTTAAAACTAAAGTTGTATGAATTATAAACTAAGTTAAACCTCCTGCTGAAGGTGAGCAGAGCACTGGCCTTCATCTTCCCCCAAGAAATAAATATCTAAATCTTTGACCTCATACAAATTACATTAATATTAGAAGCAAGTCAGAAAACTCCTCCTGAAAAAAGAGACAATAAAGCAGAAGCAAATATGGACAATCTACATATGTCCATCAAATACAGAGTAAATATGAGTCAGTGTTTCACCCAGACTACAACAATAAGACCTTGGTGCCTAATCCTGTTTCTGGACTGGACACTGACCAAAGGAGAACTGAACTCAGGAGAGCAGAAACCATCTGTTAGAGTCTGAATTTATGCAACATGCACAGTAATAGTGAAATACAGTTTCTCACAGAATTACAACAACCTATACCATGGAGGAAATAATCTAGAAGATTAAATGTGTAACTTTTGATGATTTTTCAGTATTTATTCAAGGACCCTTCGTCCTGCATAATCATAACCAAACAGCACAGAAAGTCCACAGCACGCAGTTAATTCTACTGCTGCTAGAAAAAGAGAATCTGAGGCAATGCAGTATATACAGTAATTCTTCTTCCTATGGAACAAGCAAGCAGTGAAACAGAACAGTAAATAGTCTTTCTTACTGAGCACTTTGAAAAGTCATTTCTGAGTTTCTCCACATCCTTTTTGACCTTTTAAATTCATTTTTACAAACACTGCGCTTCAGCTACATTTAGTCTGGGGACAAATACTATTTGTGATTTGTTTTGTACGGCTGAACTGTTTCCCACTTCAGCCCTTCTTTATATCAGGAGTGACATTCTTATGAATGTAAGGGGTTTTAAAAATATATTTATAAATAAAAATAATAAATTCATAAATAATAATTATGTGTATATATGTGAGACAACATTAAGGGAAAGGGAATACATTTCCATCGCATTCTCTTTGAAAGTAAAGACTAATAAGATTTCTCTACAGACTTTGACAGGGGCTGCAGCTAGCTCTTTCCAATACTTTAGCATTTTTTATGCATGCCAAAAAAGACTGAGACTGCTTCAGACAGAAAACCCAAGAAAGTTAAAGTAATGAGCAGTACAAAGCGCAAATAAGAATACCAGTTTTCCTCATAAGAGAAAACCATGAAAATGGTGAGTGAAACCAAAAGTTAATAAATTTAGAATGAATCACTTTGAAGAACATTTTAAATCAAGTTCACAGAACTCAGTGTCTTGAGAGAGAAAGCAGAGACCAACATTATCTGTAACATAGTTAAAATGTATTTTCATAAGAAATAGATGCCTTATGCTTCAGAATATAAAGCTATTATCCTTCTCTGGCAAATCTGTGGCAGATGAATCCCTGGTCTGCAGGAATCACTGCCTGCTCCTCCGCAGCTGGTGGTGGACGGCACTTTAGGAAAACAGCAGCATGAAGTGATGAAACTACCAAGATTACTCAAGTGGTTAAAACTGACGCTTAAGTGCAGTGAGATGAGAGAGCTCCACAACCTGCAGGATCAATTTTTAAGATAAAAATGGACTACATGGGCCACTGGTGTGGTTTCACAACACCTATTCCTTCTTCCTATCTTGGGTATTTTATTGTCAAAAACCTTTTTTGGCAACTGGCATTTGCTAGGAATTGTCTCTATATTCTTAATGGCAGGATCTAGCACGTCGAAAGTCAGGTTGGAGGATTGCATTTAAAAACCACTACTGAGCAAAGAGATGAAGGAGCATATTTGATTAAGGATGATCTCATCTACTTTAACTATGCAAAAAATCACTGTTACAATCTTCAAATCTTTTTCCCTAAACAACATTATCCTGAAATATAAAAAGGGATCAAGAAAAGTGGGCAGACTGGTGGGCTGAGTGACTGCACAGGGGCAGCTCCTGAAGAAGGTGTTGCTAGTTAACTCTACTTTGACATTCTCCATACATTCCCATGTGTTAGCAACCAGTAAAGGATGACAAGTAAACAAAACTGGGAGGAGATGGAGAGCACCATCTCTCTAATTTAAAAAGAGTAATGATGCCAAGTTTAGTGCAAGAATTCACACTCTTCATTCATTTTACTCCTGGAAGAAAAGATCTTCTTCAGGTAAAGCCTAGGACTGTTCTCAACAAAGTGCATGTAGCCTGGGAATCTGTCTGTTGGCCAATCACTTGAAGGATTTGAAAACTATATTACCAAAGAAAACAATGGAGAGATGATATTTAGGAGCTACTTCTGCAGGTAATAAATATTCTCTTCTACTGAAGACATATAGTAAGCACAAAAACAGGTGGGACACAAGGAAATATGTTCCTTCATTTAGTATGTCAGTATTGGATCTACTGGAGATGGATGAGAGAGCAGTTTCCTGGCTTTAGCAACAAGCTTTATAAGCACATCACTTTTGGATTCCAGCATTGGTCTCAGGCTACCTCCTTCACCCTACACAGAAAAGAAGCTGGGAAAGAAGCAATGCCATTTCTTTGGTGTAGGAATTTGGGTGATTTCAAATAAGGAATGATTAGTATCTTCAAGCTACACTGGCAGAACACTTCAAGCAACAGACATGCTACCAACTTGTCAGTGTACATCAGCCAACGTGCTACCCTCCACGACTGTATGCTTTGTTAGTTCTTTCATCCAGTTTGATCATTAAGACTGCTCTGTATGAACAGAACATTTATAGCTAGGTACAAGAATACGACAAATTTCTAGTCCAAGAAGTAGATTTCTCCAAGAGTTACATCTAGGCAACACTCTCCTCTGTCTGGGAGCCGAAAAGGATCATCTGATACTTCTAAAGAAGAACATGGCTTACAGAGACCCTCAAAAAAAAAAAAAAAAAAAAAAACAGTCCCAGCATTTGACAGTGACATCTCAAAATACCAGCTTCTCTCTCATAAAGAGAGATGTAGAGCTGCAGTCATAAAGGATGAAAAATGAATACATGTTAACAATCAATCATAAATATCAGACCATCTTTTAAATTACAAAGCTGTGACATGGCCAATTAAGGAAAATGTCTCATGTATTTTTTTCATCTGATTTTCATTAAAACTGATCAAACAAGACCATTAAATACTTATTATAATATTACATTTTTAGAAAATTCCTGATTAATTTTCAACACATTAACTTCTCAGATTTTATTTTTTCATTTTTTAAGTAAGTAAAAATATCCTCTCACCAAGTGAGCTAACACTATCATGTGGCCAAATAAATAAGCAAACTGTGCAGTGAATAAGGTCTGGTCTTCATGTATTTCAGTACTTTGTTTACAAGGACACACTACTCCATCAAAGAAGGTGTTTACTCCTGCAAACATTTCTCCAATTGGTTGGATTGACACATCAATTTTTCTTTGAGGAGCAAGGGACAGTAGTGGCAAGAGAGCTTTAGAGTCACACGGCCTCACAGTACTAACAATAAGCAAAATGAAAAACAAATCAGGCACAGTAAGTTTAAAGAATAAAATTATTTAATTCTAATCTTTGGAATACCTATAAGGCTGGCCATTATCACACTGAAAATGAGAGCGCACTAGAGAAAGCATTCAAGAGAGGAGGAAGATTAATCACATAGTTATGTGACACACTGAATTAATCTAGTCTCGTCACAAACTATAAACCTACTGTATGATAACTCAAATTGGCTCACAGAGGTAAAAGGCTCAGCAAGCTGACAGTCCATATTAACAAGGAAAAATAAAATTGGGCTCTTCATTTTATTGTTTATATCATTCTTGCATTAGCAAGAGTATCTTATACTTCATTATGCCAACAGTAATGTGTCTGTGTTAGAAAGGACAATAATTACTTTAGTGAAGTGTTGTCTACCTACAGTAGCTGTCTTATCTATAAAGAATTAGTACTACTAGTTACACTACTCAGCAATAGTCAGCATTAACAGTGATGACAAGAGGACTGAAGTAGGATTATTGTTCTAAGAGACTTAGTACAAATCATGTAACTAGTCTTATACTACATGGCAATTTGCGGTGATCACAGGCTGAGTGTGCTACTACCCATAGCACTTACCTGCTCCTGTAGATTACTGTGTAACTACACTTAGTAGGTCCATATGCAATTACTGTGCAGCCTGCACTGAAGTTTAGAACACACAAATAATTACAAATAATCACGAAAGGTCAGCTCTGCCATGACATGATACTCACCATGGCTTTTTTTGTTATCTTGACCTATTTCACTTCCTTCTATTACAAACCCCGGCCTAGGTCCTGAGCTGGGCACACTGATTCAGTATTTCCAGATGGCAGAGATTCTGAATCTTGTCTATTAATTTCAAGGTGATAGCCACCTCTTACACCCTCAGATGAGAAGCAGAAGGGAGACTTCACCTCCTTGTCCCCTGCTTGTAAAAATCCTTTTTCTTTGACAAGATGCTGCATCTAGAGGTACACATCTCTAGACTTTCACTCACTTGGTCCAGTCCTAAATGCACAGCAAAACTTAAGGCTTTTACCATGATCCAAAATGTTTGTGGATTTATGCCATGTAATTGTTGGAGACCTGCAAGAAAGATTATCCAGAGATTTTGTGGAATCTCCATCCCTGGAGATATTCAAAAGCCGCCTGGGCAATCTGCTTGAGCAGGGGTTTGGACAAGTTAAACTCCAGAGGTCCTTTCCAACCTCAGTCATTCTGTAATTCTGTGAAGGATGAAGTTCTAGTTGCTTCTGGTTTTAAGTGTGGAAAAATCAACTGCACAAGGAAATAATTCATGGATAGCTACCTTTGAACAACTAGTTCGCTGAAGCAACAGTAAAAATTATTCAACTGCTAATGCAGGAGAAATGTTTTCAGCACTATTACAAAATTGCTCTTGGGTGCAATTCCACTTAAGGTTTTGACTTCATCTACTCTAGTTTTCATACTCCTTCAGAAGCACTGCTGGAAAAGTTATTAACAGTGACCGTAACCACTTCTTTATATTAATGCAGCAAAATTGTGAGACGAAAACTTCACTAAAGGAAATCTACATCCTATAGATTTAGTCTGAGATGCTTGTGGATGATGTTTTCATAGAGGCATTGTGAAGATACAAAAGCAGACCGTGCTAACCATTTTTCAACCCAAAACCTCAGCATCAAATGTAAAAAAAATAAAATCCTTTCTAATTAGGTGAGGTAGGTTAAACTTTGATTACAGTAATTTCAAAAACATGAAAAAAACTACATAACGCTATCCTTAGATCTGAAAGCACACACAGAAATTTCAATACAAGTGTCTAACATCTTAAAAATTCAACAAACAACATGAAGCTCACCTGAGACTGCGAGATCGAGGCCTCAAGGCTGGAGAATGACGCCCTTCCTCATCAGTGATGCTCTCAGTACTGAAATGCTTTGTCAGGAAATGAAGTTCATCTGCCGTGGGCTGAAAGGGCAGCTGGTGCAGCTTCTCCTGAGATGAGCATGATGACTGAGTACAGAAAAAAATACAGAAAAGAAATGCACTAAACGCATGCATAGGGGTCAGCTAATGAATGGAAGAGGAACGGATTCTGCCAGACACTGCACACTCCAGAGGAAAAGAAAGCTACTTATCAGACCAGGTGCCTCTTCTTACTGTTCTCATTAGGCTAAGCCAACCCTTACATATAATGATAGAGCTGGTGAGATCAGGAAAACTTTGGGAGAAGGCTAGGGAACCACTGCATCCCATTCTGGAACCATTACATCTGATCATGCAAGTAATTTACTACCAGGAGATAGAAAGGAAGGTACATGAGCACCAGTGTTACTCTGGAAAGAACAAGGAGGTTCCTGGAGTGGTGAGCAACTTTCTTTCCTTTTCCCTCATGCTGTCAGCTCAGGAGTTCACTAGCATGCAGAATGCTATGGAGCTGTGTAGGCGTGAGAGTTTTTGCTGGTTATTGGCTCTCATTGGAAATTGTTACTGTAAATGGTCAGGATTTCATTTGTGCCCTTCCTTTACCCATCAGGCTTCCTCTCTAACCAAGCAAGCAATAAGAAAATGAAAGTAGCTGACTTTACAGAGTTGTAAGATCAACAGTTTCTTGTTATAAACAGCTTATCTTTAAATAAGCTGATGCATTTATACAACACATATCCTGTGATATCGATAGACGTGAAACTGTTTTAATTCTTCAACCTCAAGAAACCTGAGATTAAAGTAAGTATTTGTGGTGTTAATAACATCAAGTGTTGGATGTTAGTGTACGTCAATTAAAGAACACATTTTTCCTTCTGTGATTTTTCGATGCCCCTTTCATTATACAAAAGTAAGAAAATATATTATGTAAGGACAAATTAAAAATCCTCTTTAAAAAACAAAGGCAGGGGGAATGGGCTGAATAACCAGAATAGCACTGAATAACACCAGTGGGCCTTATTAAAAACATCATCGTAATCTAAATTCTAAGGCTCCTTACTGATCTGATTAATTATGTGCACTGTTCCAGTGGAAAAACTTTATCTTTTGCTACAATGACCCTCACTCAAATTGGAAAGCACTGCATCCTAGTACCAGAAGTATGGTATACACATAACATGCATGACCAAAGCTTTAACTCACCTAGCATGCTTTTCTAGACTTACTTGCTGTTGACGGTTTTTGGAAAAGCAAGCTAAGAATTATAGCCAAGCAATGAAAGCCAAATGCTGACAAGGCTTTTCATTGACTCCTAATGTTTGTAATGTTGATAGCAAAGAGAAAATACTCTGAAACCTAAAAACAGGTGCATCCAAATTTGTCTAGGAGCTAACAGCTACACTTGAACTGAACTAAAACTAAGCAGACCATTGCAGATCTTAACAGTCTTATCTAGAGAATTCTAGACAAGACTGAGATGGAGATCTGAATGTGAGAACTTATAAACCTAAAGATCATATTCTTTGATAAAAATATAATTGGCTTCAGACCCCAGATCTCCTCCCCCTGCACTGCACAGAGGTATTTACAGAGAACCACCCCCTGGAGAGCCGTGGCACATGCACGAACTCCCCAAGCATGGCTGGAACTGGAAGCCACTACCTCCAATGTTTTCCTTCAGGCAGGTCTAGGTGCAGAGATCATGTTGGGAAGTCATCTCCAGCACAGTGTCCACACAGTGATGATTATTCAGATGGCATATCAGTTTACACTGGTCTAATCCACACTTAACCTAAGACTATAAAGGCAAAAGCAGAGACCCTGTTTTAACTACTCCTTCCAGGTGCTTGAATATATAATAATGTGTGGCAGTGAATCCAGAGGCAACTTTTTCATGCTGATAATGAAATCTTCTCCCACATTTTTCTGTGCTCCTGCCCATATCTCTGTACATATACACACAGAGACTTCTCTCACAGAAGACTGAAATCAAGTCACCTGCTTTCTAAGGAGACAAAAAACCCTCAAAACAAAACCAACTGTCTTGAAGGTCAAAATATAAGAAATTGTGGAAATTGTGCAAACTAAAATGTGCAGGAATGTGTCTGAACATATGACGCTACAGAGATGTTAACATTGTAAACTCAAATTTTAATCATATCAATTTATATTAGAAGACGACTTTTGACTCCAATTTCTTATCTTGCTACATAGACTGAATTTAACACTAACCTCCTAAGGAATTGTGATGACAAATTTGTGTCTGAGAGGCACTAGAAAGTTTATGGATTAACATAACAGAAGAGCTCACAAGGAAAACAATGATACTGCATTCATTGTAAGATTTGCATAACGTGGAGTATTGAGTCCTAATTAATGCAGGTATTACAATTATTAGAAATATACTATAAATAGTACATATAAAACAAAATGATCAGTAGAAGTATTACAGAAAGAGGCAGTGATAAGTAACAACACAGTTGAAGAAACCATAACACACATACAAAAGTGTTACATTAGGTGGTCTTAACATTTCTAATTCTTCTGTGCTTGGTTTTGCAAGGTTGTTACGTGGATAACCACAACATCTAGTTTACATAAACTAAAGAAAAATATTCATTGTATGAAATATCTGAGAGTTATAAGGGTTAACAAGGTGCTGCTACCTTACTGGTATGTAATGACATACTAGCCTCTTTAAAGTACAGAACTCAAGGAAACTGCAGCCAGCCCATCTAATGACGTGTAAGAACTGAAAAGCTTTATTATAATAGGAGGTTCAGATTATCGGAGTTGAGTAACAGGTATGGTTTATCAGTTTTTCTTTCTGCTAGCCTGATAGCAGAGGTTTCCATACTGAGACCTTGAAAGCAGACAAAATTTCCCAGTGATAAAAAAGCTAAGAGCTGGCTAGTAATTATGCACTATCTCTTAGACTCCTGCCACTTCTGACACATTGTGCCTCTCAACTGATCAGTCGAGCCAAGTGCTGCACTGGGATTTCACCAATGCTAAAGGCAAAGTGCAAGATGATAGGAGCTGGGAAATGGAGGAAAAAGCAGCAGAACAAATAATTAAAATAGTTTTAAAATAATTAGTATATTAAATAATGTTAGCAAAACAATGAAGAAATATCAGATATTTTAGTAAAGACTCAGAAGCTGATTTGTTAGGGTGTATTTGTACAAACTGAATTGCTTGGAAAAGTCTGTGCCACTTACTGAAACTGTTGAACTGGGAGTGTTTGTTCCATATCCAGATGAAGGAAGGGAGGCCAAGGACCAGCGGCGTCCATCCGTTCTGGGGAAAAGAAGGGAAGTTACTGTCAGGAATATGTTGTGGGTAATACTTGGGAGAAATAAGCATTTTCCTCTCTAAAATCTCTTAACTTCACATTTTTACTAAAAACTCAAGTTATTCAGATAAATTAGGTATCCTATTTACCACAAACTTTGTGAAAAATCAGCTAGAGTAAGTTTTAAAAGCAAAAGTAAGTGACCTTGGAAGAGATGAAGTAAATGTGCATCAGATTCCTGCATGAAGTAAATGCTTTGTAAATATTACCAGTTCTGCAAAAACTGGAGTTTCTAAAACAGACAAAATCGGCTCATTTCAAATTTCTCTGAAAAAGACAGTCATGCCTTAGATTAGTACTGATGCAGTTCCTTGTCTTCCAAATAAAGTTTCAAATTGAGGAAAAAAAAAAAAATCATCTTAGATCAAGAATCAACTACAAGTGGACATGTCTGTTCACCTAGTCAGAAAGGATTCTGCCTAGCACATTGCCCGACACAGCTGGTGAATTAAAGCCACCACAGCAGATCTGAACAGAGTCAAGAGGTCATCTCAAAATACAGAGGAGAGAGAAACCACAGAAATTCCACCTAGGGTCTCTCATTCTCCTCCAGTCAATATAATATTAGTAGTTATTTCCCTATCTTAGCCAAAGAAACATGACCCTCAGGGAAAACAGCCAAAACATCCTGGAGATACTGCAGGAAAGGTCTTATTTTACCAACATCAAAACTGAGGAACTGAGGAGCTATACGACTGCTTTGAGAAGAATCAGTATTGCCCTCCTTGAAACCCTCTTCTCCCCTCAAAACCTGCCTCAGTGAGGACTGAAACTGAACTCTATTCAGTTCAGTCTCGGCACTTTTTCTGCCTCTGATTTCATTTCAGTCTCACATGCACTTTGTGTCCTATAACGTGTCTTGTGTGTTGGGATGGATGTTAAAAATGTTTCTTCCTCACATCAGTCTCCATTTGTTTATTTTATTGCAGCAGAGTACCAGTAACTGGTCATAAAGTGAAGCTGATTTAGAACAGTTCACAATTCTAACTTACTTTGGAAAGATTTGCGGAGGTTTGGGTACACATACATTCATGCGAGTGCATTATAAAATAGGACGTTTTGTACAGGTCTGAAATAGTTCTTATTGATTATAAAAAACTCAATTGTTACCATCTTTTCAATAATATTTCCCATCTCACTATCCACACCCAAGAAGCCTCATCTTCAGAAAAAAGTTCAGTGCACACCCAGACATAAATGCCTTTTTTTTTCCCCCAGACCTAGTGCCTTTTATTTTCAGGCACTGATACATAACACTATTTGCCATCTATTTTAGAATGAGAGAGAAATAAACTCACTGTTCTACATCACTGAAATTTTACATCGAGAGAGCTTTTAAAAAGACTCATGCTTCATGCATTGAAAAAAAAATAATCAAGCTGTAATGCAGATTTCTATTGCATGCGTATGTTATAGCTAAACCCCATTTAGCCACAGGTGATGTTTTCTTTGGCAAGGCAATTGCACGTAAAAGAACAATCTCAAAAAATTCCAAGAGAAATTAAATTCTTTTCTTAACCCTGAAACCCAACAAATATCAGCATTACAAAGTTGCTGTATGATGTGGTCGGTGGCTGAACACCAAACTTCAATGATCTTTATTCAGCTTCTTGTAATAACCAGGGTACTGGCAAAATATTTAGGTCAATGATTTAACCTCAGTTTGGACCCGCAGTTCCAAGGCAAGACAGTATGTTCCTGACTTCCCAAACAGTAGATAGGAATGTACAAGTCACTCATTTTTTGCAAAAAAAAAAAAAAAAAAAGCCTCATCCCTTTTTTACAGAGTCGCCTAAGATGTGTATTGAAATTACTTCAGAATTTTGACAGAGTTAAAAAAAAAAAAAAAATCTTTCTCAGTTAGAAAACTACAGGATACCTCTTCATGCTTGGGCTATTTTCTGCTGATGCAATCTAGGCAAGCAATGTACTAAGCAGTCAGGACAACACATATCAGCTCTAGTCTAGCAGAAAGAAGTGGGACAAGAGTAGAAATCTTCAAAATCAAAGATAATGGGAAAAGGACTTTAAAAGAAAATTTCTCCTTCATTTATGCAAAACATAACAAAACACAAGTAACTTTGAAAACAAGCATCTTTTTAGAGACACCTCATGCAATATTGCTTCAGGAAAAGATACTTAGAAATTTTTAGGTCTTTTATTTATTACAGACCCTTTGCTAGCACAATAAAAACATGCAAGCAACAAATTCTGCCTTTAAAGTGACATTAGTTAATCAAGGAGATATTTTTATGGCAACTAAATGTTATTTAATGAACAGTAGATAAATTTCAAAACAAGAAGATATAAGAACATGCGCTGTAAGAACAAACGCATCTTCTCCAGACAACTACCTCTTTATCATTTTAAGCCAAAACGCAAAGATTTCCTGTTTTAATTACCAAAGAATAGAAGCTGAATGCCTAAATGGGGTTACTACAGCATGAACTTGTTAGGGACATAGGCTCAGCTGCACAGAAGCATAGCTCATACACACACAAACAGCAGCAATTCAATACACATTACCTGTCTGCTCTGTGTCCGTGGCTGTATGGAAGAAATTGTACAGTGATAATGAGAGAAGGAGAAGTAAAAGATGCACATGTGATTTCTGAAAAAAACCTCATCTTCTGATACTGGTATGCCACTAAGATCACTTTTAGTGATTAACCACACATTTCCTTATCCAAACATGGGGATTCTTCAACATGCTAACTTTGTGGTATGACACAGTTACTGAAAGGGTGTCTATCAAGGAATAGTTACTAATCACTAGTCAAACTAAGCACAGTCTTGCAGCATATTGTAGTGAAACTGGTTTTACAAACTCAATTCATTGCACGGCTATAATGAAAGACTGGAAATCAGAAACGATGTCCAGAGGATAATAAATGAAGAAATTACACCAAATATAAAAGGCAGAAAATCAGCAACCAATCATTTCTGTGATGGCAATGGAAGGAAATCGGGTAAGAACCATCTCTTAAGACCCACACAACACCAATCAAAAGGATACAGCAAAATATCCATTTGTCTGGGGTAACAAGAGCATCACACTCACAATTACTTAATACCATCATACAGAAGTTATTCTGATACCACTATGTGATAATGTAATAAATATGTATCGATACTGCTGGCATAGCTATTCAGGGTGCAATGCAAGTAGAAAATAGAAACAAGTTTCTAAAACAAGCTATGCTTAAGTGTTCTTTTCAATGACAGGAAAAGTAGAGAGAGCAACATGCATACTGTAAAATGAACCACAGTATTCAATAGGACAGACTTAAACTTTATTGATCTATTTCTTTAAAAATTAGATTTTAAAAGTAGAAAAAGTATGCAGGGAACTCTTCAGAGTTCTATTATTAAAACATTTATTTGCTGTTTGAAATTTTAGAAGGCAATGATAACTGAACCATCAAGTTGCAACATGATGTTGAAAAATTATGTTGTTTTGACAGTGGTTTCATTTGCAACTTTCCACCTGTGTTCCAGGGTCTAGAACTCCAGATACTGTGAAAAAGGGTGAAAATTCAGTTGACTTCAACAGAACTTATTGAATATACCCAGATCAGGCTCAGATACCTCTTTAAAAATAAAGGTGAATGCCGTGAGTCCATTTGTATTGTTTTACCTGTAGGTATAAACCATTAATTTTTCCCTCTAAAACAGCAGGGAAATACATATCCAGTCTGTCACATTTCACATGCTATTATAAAGTTTTTTTCTTACGCAAGACCTGAAGACCAGATTGTACTTCAAAGAGTATTCAAGGACATGATTTCTTCTAGCAAATTACCTCAATGGAGAAACACTCCAGGATTTACCTGCCCTTCAGATAAAGGGTGTACCTTTATTCTTCTTTGAAGTTTTGAGACCTATCCTTTTTCTAAAGAGGCCTCAAGCTAAATCTATTTCTCTCAGAAAACTTACTTCACAGAATCATCTATGTTGGAAAGGACCCTGGAGATCATCTAGTCCAACCGTTCGCCTATCACAGTTCCCACCTACAGCATATCCTTAAGCTCTAAATCGACCCTACTCTTGAACACCTCCAGGGATGGGGACTCCACCACCTCCCTGGGTAGCCCATTCCAATGCCTAACAACCCGCTCTGTAAAGAAATGCTTCCTAATATCTAGTCTGAACTTTCCCTGGTGCAACTTGAGGCCATTGCCTTGTCCTGTCGCTTGTTACTTGGTTAAAGAGACTCATCCCCACCTCTCTGCACCCTCCTTTCAGGGAGCTGTAGAGGGCAATGAGGTCTCCCCTCAGCCTCCTCTTCTCCAGACTAAACCCCCCCAGTTCCCTCAGCCGCTCCCTGTACGACCTGTGCTCCAGACCCTGCACCAGCTCCGTTGCCCTTCTCTGGACACGCTCGAGTCACTCAATGTCCTTTTTGTAGTGAGGGGCCCAAAACTGAACACAGGAATCGAGGTGCGGCCTCACCAGTGCCGAGTACAGGGGTCAGATCCCTTCCCTGTCCCTGCTGGCCACGCTAGTGCTAACATAAGCCAGGATGCCATTGGCCTTCTTGGCCACCTGAGCACACTGCTGGCTCCTGTCCAGCCGGCTGTCAATCAACACCCCCAGGTCCCTCTCAGGATGAACACACGACCCCCGTTCTCACATCATTTTAACACACATGGGGTTTTTTTCAGCCAAGGCAGTATTTAGCAATCCAAAATATCTTCCCCACATTTGAATCTAATAACCCCACTACTATGCCTGAACCTTGCTTGTGAATCTCTCTTCTTTCCTGTTCTTAATTTCCCCACAAAATTTAACTTGCTGTATCATTAAGCATTCCTGCTTACCCGCTGGGATACAACACTCAATAGACCATTTGTTTGCTTCTCCCAGCTATCTTTATTCTTTCTATCCTATTCCTTACACTAAATTCATCGCTATAGTATCTGATTTCTTTCTACCAGTTGGATATACAGCATGACCAGCATTTGCCTGGCATTTGCTGCAGGACAGATGATAGCTTCACATTCACCTCTCTCAGCGCCGCTCTTCTAGAGGTTCTTGTTGACTTGCAATTTCAATTATCGGTTACTTTCCTCATTAGAGCAATAATGTACTTTTGACACCAATGTCCAAGAGAGTAGAGAAAACTAAAAAGTTGCTACCAGTCAGAAGGCAGTGAATGAATGAACACAGTTGTGCAAGCCTAATTTTAGGTATGTTTACATCTTTGTGCAGACATAGCAAAGAATATCAGTACATTCTGAATACACCTCAGTTATCCAGTGAGAAGAACATCTAGGACTACAACTGAGATATTATAATTAGTTTTAATGTCATTATGTCATAACGTCATTATGACTAAATTATTTCTCATATCACTTGTCATCCTTCTGGGAGAACACTGCCTCCTCCCTGGGCAGTATTGACTAATTAATTTACTTTATCTTCTTCTAGGTCTGAAAAGCACCTAATACATTCTGGATACTGCCAAGATCTAAACCAAGAAGAAAAAGATAAAACTGGAAACATCAGAGAAAGTAAAACACAATCAAAAAGCTTTTAACCCATCAGTCATTTCTAAATAAAAATATATAGGCTATTTGCTTGCCAATCCAAAGAGAATAGCTCCTGCCTTACCTTCGGGCAGGAACAAAGGAAAAATGAGCAGGTGCATTTGGGGAGAAGTTCCTGGGACTGTCCAAAGGGCTGCTACCTGTTTGAGAAAGAAAAAAAAAAACAAAACTAAAACACCCAAAAACATTTCATTCACATTTGCAACCAATGACGTAAATTTTCACTGTGTAGAAAACCTTTCAACTGCAAGTTGTAGTCACAAATAATTGAAAGGAGCTTTGAGTCTTTGATCATTTGTGCATTAATTTGCTAAATAAGTCTTCTGATACGAATCTAACAGTATTTTCCCTCCTTTTAAAATTAAAGTGTATGTATTCTTTCTTACTTTCAGATAAGTAATGTGTCACACATACACAATATAGTCTTTTAACATTTCGCAATATTTTCTATATACAAGCATTTCCTAGAACTCCTCAATGAAAACCTAAGTTAAAAATTACACTGATGACAGTTTCAGAAATAATAAATAGTAAGAAAGTATTTCTTCACAATGTATATCAAAGCTGAATGCAAAATTCACTGAGGAAAAAGACATTCTAAAGAAAGTGCACATGACAATAAAAGGACCATACACATGTAAGATGATCAGACTACAATCTATCAGCATTCACCGTAACTACCACTTTTCTGAAATAATACTTCTAACATTAATATGAAAGTTCCTGTGAATTTGTACATCAAGGAAAAAATAACACTTAATTTTCTCTTGGCACAAGAATACTTCCTCTGGGCTTTGTGACATGATGTGTAAGCATATGGTTGGTAAGTGGTATATTGCAATGCATTTTATTTCAAAGTAAAAAGCAACCTTCACAGAAAGCCCTTCTGAAAGCCAGAATCATTTACAGACTAACTGCAGAAACCTTTGAAAGTTATGAATGAATTAGAAGCTTCATGTCAGCAAATGTGCTTTCTATCACAAATATTCCTAAGTGGTTTGCTCTCTCAGATCCTTAACACAAGCACAGAAGAGAAACTATACATAGTAAACATGTATCAACAGCAATTTCTTTGTGCACAGACAATAAAATAACATTAAAATAAGTAGAAAAACGAAATAGATACTGGAGAAGCAATAGACTGCAAGGTACATAACCGTGGTCATCTAGAATGCTTTCAAATTTAGATCCCATATAAAATAAATTTATTTTAAAAGTCATCTTGAAAAATCAAACTTCAATGATAAGTCATCTGCAAAGGACTTGTCTCTGTGTTGGGAGAAGTACAAGGTGCCCAGCTTGCCCCCAAGCTAGCACTGATTGTTAGGTTATAGTCCCACCCAGCACTCCGCTGAAGCTTATAATTAAGTTGCATTAATTTCAACCCAAGTTATTCAAACACCTTAACTGTTATTCTGGGCACAAACGGAATATAAGCACTGTGCTCCGTTGAAGGTAATATTCACTCACACTTCAGCTATACACAAGGTTCAAAAAAATCTGCAGTAGCACCTCTCTGCAAGTTCTTGTAAGGTGTGTGCACGCCTGGGCAGGTAGGGAGGCGGAGAGGGAGAACAAGCTGATACCTTCTGGGGTATGAGGATGGCCACAGCGCAGCACAGGCCAGCAAACTCCATCTGGTCTACAAGTCTATGAGGGGAAAAACAGCAGCTGGTTGAGATTAAAGCAGCCCCAGGCTGATCTAACATGTGTCAAGGGGTGATGAGAGAACTGGAGAAGTAAGTGAATTCCAGACCACTCCACAATCTGCTTCATCAAGAGCAAACTAAATTAAAAACAAACGGTTTGAGCAACAGGTTTGTTTTCCTTTGGCTTGGTTTTCTTCTGCATTGTTAGTTAAGAACTACCAAGGGCTCCACAGTGCAATACAAAACAATGCAAGTCTTCACCCAAAACTGGATACCATATAACCCATTCCCAGTCTATCCCAAGTGTGAAGGGGAGAGTGTGATCAGAAATCAATAACTACATGGTTTTTGGTGCTTCATTTATTAAGCTTGTACTCAGTTCTTATGGGCACAGTGGAAAAACAAAGACATTATGCAGATTTTGAATTAAGACTGAAAGGTTTCACAGTCTAGATGGCACCACAAGCTTACAAGAAAGATAGAAGGCTACGATAGCCACAAAGTGAACAACTCAGTGATGCATAAACACAGTAGCAGCACAGGGCTAGGGTTAGGGTCACCATTTACCTCCTAGCAGAAAGCTAGAAGAGCATTTTAGATCAGAATGAAATGCAGCAGGAGTGAGGCCTTTTTGTGATTATGTAGATCTTCTAACAAAGCAAGGAAGGCTGCCAGTTTTGGTGGGAATTTTGGTCATTGCCTTCCCATTTTTCAAGTTTTACTGCCAACAAACCTTACTGTGTCCAGATGATGTTTTTGAACAAAAAAGCCCATTACCCAATGCTGTTATAAACAAGCAATGAACTGTCATTGCCTTTTTATATCTTCATCAATCTTTCGTAAACTTTCTAGCTTATGATCAAAATAGGATTTCAGAATAACTGAGCAAATTGGGTAATGACAGTTTTTAAATTTTGAAATTAAGTATGTGGGTGTTCAAACTCTTCTGAGTCTGCACAAACCGGTATGGAGATACTACTAATTTTTAAGCAACTACTTTTTCAGATTTATATGGCATATTTCCTTCCAGACACTGGAATTTTAATTAGATCCCTTGTGAGTTGTTTCTAGTTTTAAAATGAAAAGCAATTAGTTTTTCTCCTCAATACAAGTCTGGGTGAAGCTTTTAAAACAACAACAGGGAGAAGGGGAATTACTACTTTCCCTAAAATTTCCCAGTACTGCTGCATCTGCTCTAGTTCAAGGAATTTTAATAAGAGAAGCCTTAGTGCAATGGTCTCATTCACCAAGGCTGATCGAAACCCTATTTATTCTGCTAGCTAAGGTAAATTCCCCTGTTGCTCAAGGGTTATAGTTGGCTACTACTGAACCTGAAACGACTCTGTCTCAAGGGAGGCTGTTACACCAAATGATTGCCCATTAGGTAAATCAACACAGTTACATGAATGTTAATAATTCAGGCATGAACCTTTACATTTTCCGGACACAGGAAGGAGGATATGGCCAAAGCATTTGTACATCCACTGCCTTCAAAATACAAAACAGGACCTTAAGGGCAATAGATACGTGAAAGTCTTAACTATCATCTACAAACATCACATTCACCAGATAGGTAATGAGTCCAAAAACTCACACTAGAACCATTTTGTAAAATCTGCTTCTGAGATTTGTAAAAATAAATAAATAAGACAAAGTTGTAGTCTTCTACATCAGATGTACTAACTTTATTTGCTGAATATTAACATAAGCAGCTAAAGGTCTTACTGCATGCTACAGAATTAGCTGCTTTCCAGCACACACAAATCTTAAAATGACCAAAAAAGTTTAAGCACACTGTGTGCCACCTGTCTCATATACAGTGAATGCCATGATGCTCTTATACCAGCCAAGGGTCACACATGTGAAATGCTGATGAACTGCAGCTTTGATAACCAGGGCAGATTCTAGTGGTATGTTACATGCTCTATCCACTCTAAAATAATAAATAGAGGCCTTAGTAATAGCCATTTCTCTGCTAGAGGTGGAACTGAACCTGCAGTGTAAGAGCAGAATAATTTAAGGGAGCAGCTCTCTCCACCTGCCATTACAGATGGGAGGAGGACAAAGGTCCCAGCAGTGACAAGTGTCTCCCCTGGAAGCCAGCGAGCAGCCTGGCTTCCTTACAGTTGTGGAAAGTACATTTTAAAATAGCTGAACTTCAATTAGCCAGCTGTAAGAATCTATCTCTTTCCTACTGAATTACAAAGATGATGTTGCTTCTTTGAAACACAGAATACCAGATTGGAAGGGACCTCAAGGATCATCAGTCCAATCTTTCTTGGCAAAAGCAGAGTATAGACAAGATGGCCCAGCACCCTGTCCAGATGAATCTTAAACATGTCCAGTACTGGTGAATCAACCACTTCCCTGAAGAGATAAACCCAAGGGCTGCTTTGATTGATTTTAAGCTTTTAATTTAAAAATATAATCTAATGGTAACTTACTAATCAACCTCATGATGTTACCTCTATGTAATTTTCAGATTTTAAGAAACAATTCAAGGAAGGAACATACATGTATACTTCCCCCGCCCCCCCCCCCCC